CCATCATCTTTTGTCCTTTCTTCTTGCCTTCTCCTGGTTGTATTTCAAGCCCTCTTAGGTTACCTTCCAGCCCGAGATTTCCATCGAGATTTAATCCCCTTTCTCGCACTCTGTACAGCTCCTTCAATCTCAACGTCTCCAGTCCCTCTACCACACTTGATGCGTGATCTCGCACAAGTTCATCCGTGTCTTCATCCTTTACCCATCTAATCACTCGCTCTACTTCCTGCTGTTGCTTTAAGTTTAATGCGACCACACCCTCCTTCCCAGCTTCGATTACCGCGTCAATACCGCGTAGTAGCCCCATGATGACAAGAACACCAGCACGCCGCAGCAAAGCCTTTGCATCCTCTTTCTCCATCCCGAGTATGAGCAATACCATCTGTAGCGATGCATCAATCAGCGGCTGCCGCAGCACCTCGAGTCGGTGCTCCAACAGCGTCGACAGAACGCTCAGTGCAGAAGCGCGCATTCTAACATCTTCCTCAATTCCCGTGTTTTCCCACCCATTGACAATCTTGTGTAGAGTAGTATAATCTGCTTGCTCTTGCGGATCCGCGCCGTCAGGCTCAAAAACATTCGGTATCGGACCACCCCAAGCTGCTTCACCTTCCTCCTTTAACCTCCGCCCACTGTCTGCAATCTCATTTCGCATCGAGAGCGTCTGCACGCGTTGCCCTCGCCGACCTGATAACAACAGACATGCCTCTGTAATTTGTTTCGCGCACCTATACATCGTTCCATCATTCGCATGCGATTCCCACAAGGTATTGCTACCCGCAAAGGTGTTGAGGACTTCACCAACCCTTAGTCTCAAGTTCAAAGCATTCCTCAGCTCCTTCTCTTTCTCCTCTGTCTGTTTCCCTCTTGCGAGCTTCAAAGATCGTTCATCGACATCCACAAATGCATCAACCAGGATCCCTACAGCAGGCTTCGGTACTCGCGTTGCTAATGTGACGAGAACAGGTATTGCCGCTAGATGGACGTAAGACTCGGGATCGGCCAACGATGACGAAAGCAGGATATGTGTAAGAGATGGTATGTCAATGACTGGGAACGCAGCTGGATTGTTGAGCATCGAGTGTATAGTGTTGAGAGCCCAGGTACGGTTCGGCGGGTCCGTTGACTGAAGTTCCTCGAGACAGGTCCTTAGTGCAACACGGTGTTCTGCCAAGGGATCGATAGGCTCATTGGTCGCAAGTCTGGCTTTAGTGGACGGGGAATTAGTAGTGGTGGGAGCGATAAGCTGGAAAAGGATGGTAGAGGAATTGCTAATCATGGACGGTATAGGCGATTGCGTTTGGTCCCGGTATTCCGAGAGATATGCCAATGATGGCAAAAGTGCAAGCAGCATTTTCTTGACCAAAGGCGTCTTCTGGAAATCGGGCGACGCTAGCATTGTGTTCAAAATACTCAGGGCAAATGAAACCAGGTCCTCGTTTACAGCATCATCTTCATTCTTCTCCCCTGTCGTAGCTTGCTTTCGCACAATGTTGCCAAGCATGGCGCGTTGTGACATGCGTGACTTGCTTGCATTGGACAAGGACTTCTTATGTTCCTCGACGAAATTCTCAATCAGCTGTGCCATGAGCTCAATGATGTGTTGTGGGCTTCTCGCGAAATGCTCTTGGAACTGCCTAGCCAGAGATTCAGACAACTTCGCATCCAGCAATGCTAAGAGCGGATCACCGATGAAATCTCCATCCGTGAGGGACTTGGCTGCTGGCTTCGGTGGTTCAAGCCACCGCTTCGTCGTACTAAGAAAGACCGAGCTTGCGACATCTCCCGGGACACTTGCTTCCGACAAGATAGATACTAGTAGGCTGACCCGGTTATCCAGGTCGCCAATCTGCCCAAGAATTCCCTCAATGTTTGCTCTAGTGCTCTCAGACTGGTCCTTTGTGCGCCGCCGTATCTCAACGCCACCTTCAGAGCCAGGTCCAAAGGTCCATGTAGTGTCCCCGTCCCAAAAGATATGACGAGCCACATTGTCAATCTGCTTTGCGTCGCAAGCCAGTTCCACATATCGTGATATGATTGATTTCGGCAGTGCGGTCCACTCTTTGTCAAGTGAGGGTCTGCGTTTAGCGTAGTTGAGAAGCGCCCATAGAGGAAGCAGCATCGGCGTGACGAGGCGTTTGATCAGGCCAGCGTGGGAATATGAAGACGTGATATTGTGGAGTTGGCGGAGTGCCGGTTTGAGATCGCCTTCTCCTACGACAACGTCATTTTTGCTGCCATCTTCGGAAACTGAAGTTTGAGTGTTCTTTGGAGAGATTCGTTGGAATATAGGCTCCACGAAGATCTTCCATCCTATAGTACCTGGTGCCCCGGTCGTCTTCTTGCTGAGTATTCCGCCCGCGATGATCTGGCCTGCTGCTCGACTCAATTCTTTTCTTTCGTAGCCGTTCAGCAGATGTAGCAGTTGAGGTGCAAGTCTTTCTATCCAATCATTTGGTGTAATGCCACTAGGCGGAAGTACAAGTAGCTTTGACGCCTGGGTGATAGCTTCCAGTGGGATGGGAATCTGAGATTGCGGGCCTGACGCGCCCTCGGGGATGTGAGAGTTTTTGGAAAGGTACGAGAGCGCTAGGAACTCAATGGTATGTCGGACACCTTGTTGTCGAAGCGGGACCATGGACAGCTCCGTTGATATAATAGGTTTTAGCCACTCGGGGAGAGGTTGCTGTAGAAATGATGTTAAGATTGGAAGAAGTCGAGATGTTGGAATCTCAACCATTATCTTCTTGTAAATAGGTAAGAACTTGGATTTAGCGTCTTCAGACGAAAAGGGTGAGAAGGACAGTTCAGCAAGTGCGGATACAATGTCGGGAAGGATCCTCTGGGAGAGCAAGGGTTGCACACCTGAGCCCTTTTGCTCTAAAATCGGGAGAACACCTTCGATTACTACGGCCAAAGCATCCATATCGTGGTCAGGTGATGCGGTGACCATCGCAGTCAGGACCGAGCGTGGTCGCTGGCTAAAAGCTACTCCTGGCGATAACCGTGGTATGACAGCAAGAATGATGATGAGGTCCAGGAGGCCGTATACCACTCCTGCAAGAGACGCGTCATAAGGGGCGTTTGGGTCTGCGACTAGATCGGCGGCATTGATGGCTTGAAGGTGGGAAAGAGATTGCTGGATGAGCGACGAGGTTGGTACATCGCCATTGTATTTGCGGCCTTTGTCAACGAATGGACCGATGAATTTGGCAGCGGAATCTACTGCGTCCTCGATTGCCCCCATGGTGAGTGGTTTTGCCTCAAGTCGACTGACTGTACTACCAGCGCCACTTATTGGCGACGAGCAATCTTGCGTCTGTCGCACTGGGCTTAATTTTCGATAATCCTATTCAGATAAACGTCTCTTGAGACCACTGAATATTTAGTTTTTTGAACCTTAAATGCAGTTTTCAGTGTATGTGACTACAATGCGAGGATTGGTGAGCAGGCTCGAACGGCGATGGCAATGATTAGTCAGGGAAGAAAGTATGTAGTCACGTGCTAGCGCCGCTTGGACGCGATTCCTTGGCATTGAGCAACGCGTCGTTCCCCTTTGTCCAGCGGGGTAACACTCCAACAACCAACACCTCAGCTGCTCCATCATTACACGACGTCCGCCTTCAGTCAAATGGCTGCTACACTGTGTTGAAAAACGACCGGACTTGGATTCTTACACGCGCTCTTCAACCAGATCTGACCATATCAATGATAGCGGGACGGCCGCGTAACACCCTTCTCTAATTCGGTTTCTCCTCTCAACTTACAAGTATCACGCATACCACTTTCCCCATAGTTCCCGACGCCTGTCTTCCATCTGGAATGCGGCTCGTCCGCGCCTCACCTATTTGCGCGGTCGACACTCACCCGAGCCTCTTGGCATGGTCTCAATGGGTTGCTTGCATGTCGGCTTGCGCGTCTCGATGTTAGCATCGAGGTTGTGGGTGAGGGAGGCAGGCTCGGATCTTAACCCTATCCATCTCTTGGTGTTCGTCCCAGCCTTTGCGCTGGACGAAAAGTATCGCGGTCATGTCGCCGACCTTCCAATTAGTCCCTGCTAGACAGCTCACTTGTGGGCTAGTCGGGTTCGGCACAAAAGGAAGAGTCGAGGTACGGGAGTTAACAGCTCAAAATGAGATGACATGTGCCTGTTGGGGTGTTAAAGTTCTCATTCGAGAACCACGTCGGTATCTCATCCGTGCAACAGACTCTGGTCGTAACAGATAGCTCCACGATGAAGCAGCAATGGCAAGAGAAAGAGAAGTGATGGGAGATGTCCGTCACCCCGGCTGGGGACTGACGCTGGGCTCTTGAATTCCGCTAGCACATGGGCTGCTCATTTCTAGGACTCGTACCGAAGTTGCCATGCCAGGCTCCAACAATCACAACGTCCCCATCACGCATCATGCAAGTAGCGAATAGGCAGAAGAAGAGCGCGGTTTGACTTTCGTCAAGCCTGACACACAGATGTATCAACCTGTTCTGGCTTCGGCCGACGCTGAGATCCACTCGTCGGAAAGGCGAAAGCCCAGCGAGGTCTCGGCGTCGCAGGCAGATATTATCATCATTGGTGAACCGCCCCGCTCCGGATCTGATGTCTTGAAGCCCATGTCTGATTGTTTGATTGATGTACGTATGTTGGGCCAGGTTCGCAACACTTGTACTGTGCGATGACTTGAATCGAGCAGGCTAGTAGTGCGCAGCGATGAAGATGCTCGTGCATCTCTCCTACAGGGATGAGAATCCCAATTACTTCTCTACACTCTCACTTTGAGTGCAACATCACGGAGCCTGTGTCACGATGCAAATCTCTAGACACTAGTCGTTCCACAGCGATATCTGACCAGTCGCGTTAATCGTCAACATGCACGTGCAGCGTGTGTCGGCATCGACGAGCGTTTACCCTTTCGGTCGAATAGTGCTTTTGCCTGTTGCGATCAGAAGTACGGTTTTTGAGGATGTCCTTTGTCCGTATCATCATGCCCTTCGTCACCAAGCGAATGGTAGCGAAGCGGCAACAAAGACTAGTCTCTGAGAGTTATGCAATCACAAACAGAGAGAAGCTTCCTGGCATAGCACCCACCGAAGATCGAGTCAGCAGAGGGCAGTTTCGCGGCCGTTGTGTTATCCGATTAGGATCTGGTGATCGACGCGTTTTGAATCATGAGGAAGATGGTCCTGCTGCAATGGAGCGAACCCAGTAGCCTTGAAGACGTGACGGCAGCTTCCCTGGAAGTACTGTGGCTCTTGCGAGTTTTGTTTCTTGGGGTGTATATCGAGTTCCGTTGTGTGTCATGAGACTAATTACAAGGCGACTAAGCGAAGAGACTGTAATCTAGTTACAGCAAAGCGGCGGAGACGTTGGAAGCCACATTGCATCACTTCTCATGTGAGGCGTCAGAGACGGGACCTCTCAAGAGTGAGGCTCAAGGTCTAGACCTGTCCGTCCCTGTTGCGCGGAGTAGCCTTGCAGGCCCCTTTGTTCTACCGACTTTGCTTTCTGGTCTATCATGTCACTCTCTTTCGCGATGTCGTCAAGTTTCTGCATGGGGCGGGCCAGCAATACATCCTTTAAGGCGACACTCAGTATAGTCATTGGTGTGGAAATAGAAGTGCGTGGTGAGGGGTATCGCGGGTGGTTCATTTGGCTGTCTTTCGGGACGGCCACTCTTTTTTTTTTACATAAGTCACCGATTTCCGGGAGTAAATACTACGCTAACTATTACAGGCTCAGGAACATGCGACTCCGTGTTCAGCTTCTCGTATTTCTGCAGACACCTGCAGCGGGTGTACCCATTTCTTATGAGCGTCTGCAGCCAAGCGAGCCAACACATATTAAGCCGGTGGAGCAAAATTGCAAATACAGCATACCAAGAGGACTAGACATCTCATGCCACTCTTGGCCATCTCCTTTTGCTCTTTTTTCGTTCCAGTTTACCAGATCTGTCTACAACCAACCGATTTCAGGCTTTCCGCCACAGTTACCTTCGGCTCTTCTTCAACCTCTTATGAATACGAAAACCTGCTTTGAATACTGTCGCTCGGGTTTAGATCTTCTGCAAAGACAACTTGATTAGTGCACCTGGTCAATCTCACGATATGGCAGTACCCGAGTTCTGCCAATAGGAGGAGTGACGACTGGAATTGCGACGAAGTGAGGATAGTTCCCCACCGCCCAACAATATTGGCACCACTGTACAATACAAGTTGTTCAATCTAGTCTCAAGCCACATTCAATGAACTGCTGCAGCTATATGTCCGTCAAAACTCGATGACGAAGAAATCCCATGGTAGCCACGATGAGCGGGGTCTACTAACTTAATCACTAGGATCCTATACAGCTTGTCTCACGATCCTCACGCCTTTCATGGGCTATCTATGTTGCCATTGACGTATGGGGATCACTTGCAGCATGGCTCGTCCTGACGAAAATTGGTCGATGTCATTGAGTCATGACAACCCTAGAACGTTATAAAGTCATTGTGAGACGTGAAGTAGTAACCATAAACTGAAGCGAATTGCCACTTCTGTATCAAGATGTTGTTATACATAGTATACGTTTCTTTTGCTTTTTTGCTGCCACTCTTTGTTCGCGCCGATACCTGTTCTACCATTACGGATCTTGGGGGCATTGAGGTCAAATACTCTCTCGACCTGGCTTATATCGAAGAGCAGACGCAATATTGGTCGACGTCATGCTCGGCTCTTCTCCCGTCGTGCATCATCTTCCCCAAGACGGCGGAAGAGGTGTCAACAGTGATGAAGGTGCTTGCTAACACTACGGAGCCTTTTGCCATCAAGTCTGGAGGGCATAACCCGAACAACGGCTGGAGCAGTGTTGCTGGAGGACCTCTAATCTCCACGGATCGTTTTGATCAGGCTGTTTTAGATAAGAGCACTGGTATTGTCGACGTCGGTCCAGGCAACAGGCTAGACAGTATTTCCGCCAAATTACAAGGCTCTGGGTGGACTTTTGTTGGTGGACGCATTGGTAATACTGGAGTTGGTGGTTTGGTCCTTGGCGGAGGCCTCAGCTACATGTCGACACAATATGGATGGGCCGCGTCAAGTGTTCTTGAGTACGAAATCGTGTTTGCAAACGGCACGATTGGTTATGTCAGAAAAGACAACCACCCTGATCTGTTCGTTGCACTCAAAGGAGGCGGCAACAACTTTGGTGTTGTAACAAACTACAAGTTACAAGCCCGCCGCCAGGGAAACGTGTGGGGTGGCAATCTTGTCTACTTGCGTACGCCGAAGAAGGACGCAGAGCTGCTCCAAGCTGTACGTGATTGGACTGAGTACAACGAGGATGACAAGGCAGCCGTCATTGTCACTGCTGAGCGCACCAATGTCAACATTATCGACTCATGGATTATATTCCTATTCTACGATGGCGCGACACCACCAGTGGGACTTTTCAAGAACTTCACGGATGTCAACCCTCTTCTTGACACAACACGTACACGAACATATGCCGACTTGATGGCACTTAGTAACTGGGTTGTACTCAAGGGCAGTGTCGTTGACATCGCCACCGAAACCATACCCATTCCTTCTCGCGCAAATGCAGTCGAGATTATGGAGACTCTCCATAACCATTGGCGCAACATCTCTGAAACAACGCTTCTTGTGCCCGGCATAGTCGCATCCATCGCATGGCAGCCTTTTCCCAAACGCATCGCGCAAAAGGCTCGAGAGCTTAGTCCTGACCTGATTGATGCCGACGCAAGCGTTGACCGTATCATCATCGAAATGAACTACGCCTTTACACCCAAATCGCTGTATGACACCATGGCTGACACTATGGAAGCGACGTACACGGGCATTCGAAATCGAGTGCTGGCGTGGCAAGCAGAGGGAAAGTTGCCAGACGCTTATTTACCTGTTTTCATGAACTATGGATTCTATCGCCAAGATTATTTTGGCAGGTTGAGGCCGGAGAGTCGTGCGTTGGCGAAGAGGGTTGCGGACGCTGTGGACCCAAGAGGCTTGTTCCGTACGCGAACTGGAGGGTGGAAGCCTTGATACAGGGGGCTTTGGGACGGAGAACATTTTCTGATAGTGAGTTGGGTACTGCATCAGGTGCCGATATATGTAGAGGCGAGCCAACGAAATGATTGGTGCTATATCAATTTGAAACTCTGCAAAAAATCTTGCGCTCTTTAATGTTTGTTCATGATTACGAACCCGTCGTACCGGATGTGATGCACAAAGACCAGGTACTTGGGAAACTTCAGACAAGACACATCTGTTGAAGTTATCTTTGGCACGTGGCGCACCCACCCCACCATGTTGGGTTCCGTTGGGCTTTCTGATGCCGACCATGCGCGCACCGTAGCACTGGCAGTCTGTTGTTTCTGACCGCGAACTCTAAACCCAGAACTCACTCCTTGTCATATTCACTTTTGTACAATATCTACGTACTACCCGTTGATTTGTGTATCAGATGGACCGACAAAACCGCGCTTGGCTCAGGGAAAAACTTCCAGACCGCGTTGGACCACGAGACATGATGACATGCAGCAAGGGCAAAAACGATTCGGCAGTTGAGAAGGCAGCAGCAGCAATCAAACCTAAAATATGGCCCGCAGTAGTGTTGATTGACATAGCCACGCGGCTGGGTGTTTAGCGTTTCTCAGTCCTTGTCCGAAATAACACCGTTCGCGAGCCAAGTGTTGAAACGGAGTTTATGCCTGTTTCAGGTGAAATGTTGTAAAGGCCATTTGCGTCATTGTTTCGATTTTGTGCGTGGCTAATACCGATACTGAAATACGTACTTACACAGAGGGAGGTATACTAATGTACATGCACGCCTGATCGGCCAATGTAGTGGGATGAGGCCCCACTTGGACTTTCTTCGTGCAAGGTACTCGGAGAAAATACATGCAGGCGATCAAGATGTGGAGAATCGAAGCTCCAAGCATGCGTCCGCAGTTAGGGAGGACAAAGCATGAAGAATTGGGCACTTGTAGCAAGAATAACCGACCACTCTTTGTTCCGACATTCACATCAATCTCTGTAATCTGCTTGACAACGTTTATTGCTGTTGCGGCAGGTACTCGGGTCAGCAACTTGGATGAAACTACAGATCATCATGTTTGAGAACACGAAAGTTTTTTTGGGTACTGCAAGAGGTGGAAGAGTCAAAGTAAGCAGATTCGACCGGGTCATAAGATATCAGCGTCACTGGAGTATCCTATGGCATCCAGCTGAAACACAATCTACGTATGAGAAACATTTTTGATTTTTGTCAAGGACAAATCAACGGACGATGGATGGCTTTCTTGGCAGACACATCATCTCGAATACCATCATCGCTGGCACGTAATGGGATACCCTGGACCGCTGATATTCGACTCGTGTACTTACTGCGTCATAAGTCGAGCTTTGGTGGCGTTGTCTCTAGGATCTCATAAACGGCGACGGGAACTAGAACAAGCCGTGCATTCTAGACGCACCTCCGCATGCTCGAGCTGTCAGCCACGAGGGTGGATAATTTCCCCACATCTTTTCCGACACGTACTAGCGCCATGTCGGCCATTAGCCTTTTTTTGTGCGCTCCAGAGATGGCCCATTCCTTTCCCGTCGTAGTGCTTACACCAATATAAACATCCAGAGGGGATACAATAGCATAAACGGGTCTCCCGCAAGTAGTTCTGAAGGGTGCCGAACATCTCGCTTAAACGATGCTTTTCGATGATTTGTCGAAATGGAGTAACGTGGCTTGCCACGGGTGAATTTGCAAAGTTTATGTCTCGCACGGGAACCGTAGTAACCCTTTCGGCGTCTCGGTCGTGTGTCTTTTCAAACAACCTCGGATAGTGGTGTGTTCTGCTATCGAGCAGTACATGACGAAACGTCGGCACTTCTTTCTTATTCGGCAGCGTTGTCGGGAGATAATAAAAAAATGGAGGCAGTCGATTCGGCAATACACAATCAAGCACCCGTGACCAGGATACGTAGCTGTACGTAGGCCGTTTTCATTCCCTCCCCTTGTACCTCATCATACGATACCCATTCCACAAACGAAGATTTTTCCGCCTAATAATCAGTAAGTAGTACAATCAATACTAGAAAATCGGCTAGACATATTGCTCAATGCTTAGTTATTGACTATGCCATGTTTTTCGGTATTTGCTTACTGCTTTTGCGTTATAAATATGTAAGAAAATTCTTAGTCGAGAGCTCGGACATGATAGTGACCCCATGCGTAGTAGGTCAGTACCTAATAGGGGCTATGCTGAATGCCCTTTACTGTCGTAATCACCTTGGCAAGCATTATCAATACTGGTGTCCTGGACTTCATCGCGGGTCTTTCCGGCGGTTAAGCCAAGTAGTGTTGCCACTTTTCGTCTACGTATACTCTGGGCTGGTTATTGCCGCATTGTGTCTGCGCGCGAAGAGACCAGTGCTTGGCCTATTATTTTCGTCTATTATCAGTTTGCTATTGAACTTTTTGCGTGATTTGACGCTTCTTCTCGTTGGGTGAAACGGAGGCTGATATAAAGGACTGGACGAGGTTTCATTAATAAGGCACGCCCCATGTCCACGCTATCTTTAGCCGTAATGACGTGGTGGGAAAGGGAGAAAACATGGAGAAGAGCCCATCGCGGGGTGTGGACAAGAAGGAATCGCCATTAGCGAGGGGTGTGGGTAATCGTTAGATCATTCTGTGTTACTTGCATTTCCTATTGTGGCAAGCATCCCTGTATTATGCAGCGGGAAAGTAACCTGTTCGTCAGGAAAGGGGTCCACACGCGCCGTCCTCAACAAGCGCATGATGTTCGCTGGAATGACTCCGATAATATTTATGCGAAACTAGCCAGGTTACGCGCAAGGTACCGGCTGACGGATTAAAACATCGGCAATTGTATGTGGACGCCACAGCCATGGAGTCGTCATATTACTAGAGCTATCTTCAGTATACATAATCAGTTACCGAGCACATACCAACGTCGTCACTCAACTGTGAATTCCCTCTTTTTGCGCTCGTTCCCATCATGCCTTCACCGCTCAGCATCACACTGACGGTCGCAATTTCTGCGACTGGTCTTCTCGCGCATCCACTTTTCAACGGGAAGCTCATTTCCAGGGCAGACGATCTTCTTCCCGAATATGATTATGTTGTTGTAGGCGCTGGTGCGTCAGGCCTTACCGTTGCCAATCGACTATCCGAAGATCAGAGTATGTCACTCTCTTGGCGAATATGAAATATATTTGATAGTCGATCATTAACGCTGCTCTAAAATAGATGTTAAGGTGTTGGTTATCGAGGCCGGCCAATTGTAGGTTCTACCAGGCCCATATCGCCACCGACATGCTAACCTGGCCGTCAGCGACCAAGACGAGCCTTTCGTCACGATCCCAGGCCTTGCTGGTGGCGCCGTCGGAACCAAATATGATTGGAACCTCACGTACAGCGCAAATCCGCAGGTCAACAATCGTTCCGTTCCTATTCCTTTGGGCAAAGTTGTTGGCGGATCGACTAAGCTTAACCGCATGGTCTTCGATCGTGGTTCGCAATCTGATTACGATACATGGGAGGCCTTGGGAAACTGGGGGTGGAACTTCCGAAGTATTCTGCCCGGTTTCATAAAGGTACGTTTGTTTTGCTCGCAGCCCCATTGATGGATTTTAACCGGTTTTCAGTCAGAGACCTTCACACCACCAACAGCAGCAATCCAGGCCGAATACGGCATCAAGTATAACCCCAGCAACTACGGAACCAAGGGTTACATCCAAACAACTTTCTCTTCCTTTTTCTGGCCGACTATCAGTAAGTGTTTCAGGAGAAACCGGATTGTCTGACTTCTGTTAACACCCAACAAGAAAATTTCATCAACGCCGCTCAAGAGCTTGGCATTCCGATCAATGACCAAGCTACAGGAAATGCATTTGGTGGTTACTTCTGCCCGCACAACATAGACACCAAGACCCAGACGCGTTCTTCCGCAGAAGAAGCCTACTATGCATCTGCACAGAAGCGCTCCAATTTTCATCTTCTAGCTAGCCACCAGGTGACGCGAATACTCACAGGGAAGGCAAACGGTGTGCCCAAAGTGACTGGCGTTCAGTTTGCCGCTTCTGCTGGTGCGAAGAGCCAACAGACAAAAGTCAAGAAGGAGGCTATCCTTGCCGCTGGAGCACTGCACACACCTCAGCTATTGCAAGTGTCCGGTATTGGCGACCCTGCTCATCTTGCTTCCATCAACGTACCCACTGTTGTGAACCTCCCCGCGGTTGGACACAACCTCCATGACCACGTTTCCCTCTTTGTGCTCAACCAACGTAAGCAAGTATCGCTTTTCTTGACAGACCTAAGGCTGATGACAGTACAGTCAACACGACGATTCTCACCAGCGGTACCCTGCAATCAAACGCTACGTTCGCTGCTGAAGCTCGCAAGCAGTACGACCAATTAAAGACCGGTCCTTTAACTTCCCCAACTGGAGACTTTCTCATGTTCCTTCCTGTCTCGACTTACTCCAACGCCACGAAAGCCATCTTATCACAAGCTATTGCAGCTGGACCATCCGCCTCGCTTCCAAATGGCGTTCCGGCCGAAGTCGCGCGCGGTTACGCAGCACAGTTTGCTATTCTCAACAAGAAGCTCGAGGCCAAAGATGCAGCCTTCCTAGAGTTGATCTGGGCAGACGGTGCTATGATTCTTGGACTACAACATCCGTACTCGCGTGGGTACGTTAAAGCGGCTTCTGCCAACATATTCGACGCTCCTATTGCCGATGCGGGTTTCCTGCGAAACGCAGTCGACATCACTCTCCTTCGCGAAGGCCTTCGTTTTGCTCGCAAGGTCTTTGCTACACGGGCAGTCGCGTCACTCAAACCAACCGAAATCATCCCCGGTCCTAGCGTCTCACAGGATAAGGATATTGACTCTTGGGTCCGCAACACTGCAACAACGCTATACCACCCTGCAGGCACGTGCAAAATGGGCCCCAGAGACCAGGGAGGTGTCGTAGATCAGCATCTCCATGTGTATGGCGTGCAAGGCTTGAGAATCGTGGATGCGAGCACCATGCCCATGTTGCCAGCTGCCCACACCATGACTACAGTTTATTCAGTAGCCGAGAAAGCTGCCGGTATAATCAAGGGAGGGTTCTAAATTAGATACTTTTGTACATATGCTTTGCATACAAGCCGGAAAGATCAGCGGGCTTGACCAACGGCATTTCTTTGTAAATATAAATATGTAACAGTCCTCTCAAGGGATGATGTTATGGGCCTACAATGGTGCAGACTAAGCATCATTATTCTGTTTCCAAGTTCATCTCCGTCTTATTGCAAGTTTCTAGATTCATGATAACAGCGTTGAACTGTGCTCTGCGCTAATGCGAACATGTAGACCGCTTAAAAATGCCTGTTCCAAAGTTAGGCCTTGAAGCTATTCAATACCTTGTTCATGGGATCTAGTGAACTAGATAAGCGCTAACATATATGTCCTACTATATGCAGTCTGATCACTGAATGTTCTTGCACGTCTAGACGTCTGGTGTGGACTCCACATTCGGTATCACATGAACAGTCAACGCGTCACACCCGAATCAATTGTGCGCAGTTACTTTAGAACTTTGTTGAAGATAACATATTACTCTTGTAGATTTCTTTCCCAGAATCTCTCCATCTTATACTCCATTGGTAGCCTTGAGGAGCCGCCGGGTCGAATATGAAGTCGAGTCTTGCAGCAAGCAATCTGCACGCAACAAATTTGAGGGTAGTGTGGCAAGAAATGCGTGTAAGCATGGGATTCCTAGAAAAGTAGCATTCAATGGCGCTATTGTGGAGAAGGCTGTTGTGAATAGCAAAAGAACGAATTTGCAGAGGAATCTTAGAATTGCTTAGCCAACCGTAAGTAGGAAAATGTCAAGAGTGGGTAGCGTTCATACTGAGGAGTTAGATTAGTCGTAGTATCCCAGCATGTAGTAAGTGTGCGGTACTATCTCACTCAATATTTATCATGAAGATCGTATATGATATTCGTTATCAGCCTCATTGTGGTCAATCCGCATCAGATTAGGCTGATGAACTACTGGGGGAGCAAGGATCTGCTCCATAGTAACAGCCAGCTCGTAGGTACATGAGGAAGTCCCACACCACCTATAGTAAGATATGATTACGAAGATCACTTTTGAACTTTATTGCTAACAGAGCTGAAGGTCCCTGCTAACAGGGGTGTCCATGATACTATCGTAGTAGTGATATGTCCTTACGTAGTGAGGATTGAGTTCCATTTCCTTGTAATTCAACGCCTTATACTCTCCTACAATCCGAATATCTAGCTCAAAACGTAGTGTTTTACTTTCTACAGCTTTATACTATTAGCTTCAGAACAGATTAACACCAAGAAGTATATCAAGTTACTAGAGATAACGCTAGCAAGAAGTTTTAGCCGCCACAGCTAAGCTAGCGATAACTTTTGAAAGCGCCCTCAGTACTGGTAAGCACACTATGCCCTCTCTATCAAGCAGCAAGTGGTCTTCAGCCCAGCCCTGCACGTACTACCTCACAACCGTAGCTAACATAGAGTGACCCAGGTGTGTCGGCTATTGTAAAGCAATCTGGAACGATATTTTCCGAACCCCGCCTCGGGTAGGCGTCACGTACTATGGTAATGTGCACGGGAAGGCTCCAGCGGGCCCAGACTCGCGTATCGTCTTACCATGTAGTCAAGAACCGGCTCATTGTGAGCTTGTAAGCTCGTGTCATCATGAGCTGGCGTATATCGGGCCTTTAAATGCCGATGATTCTTTCCTGTGCACCCGGTGATACTTTTGAAATTATCGGCCGTACGCCAAGTCCACTGTAAAGCAGAGAATACCGAATTATGAATAGTGCAACCTCTTTAGAGTACACCTATCTTTGAGCATTTGGGGTCGAAGCTTGGCTGGGAAATTCAAAGAAATCATTTTCGTCTTTTTGATTGGCTGTGCCTACTTGGCTTGAAATGATCATTAACTAGCAAAGGCTACTGCCAAATTCGTATTTATCTCGTCCATCGGCGAGACCTTCGTCATCTCACCCATCTGAGCGTTCCAGCGGTGAGAAGCTTCTTAAATTTAGATGATGACAGGGTTTATCTAACAATGTCGCCGACTCAAGAAAAGTATTTAGAGCGTGTGATATTCACACCAATTCGTCACATCCACTCCTCTCACCATCCCAATAGTCCAACAACCGTTCTACGTGAAATATTTTGTTTAATATGCGCGTCGCTATTCTCGCTGTCGCCATTCCGGGAGCGCTAGCTCAAATTTGGAGTGACCAAGTCTGCAATGGCAACGGTGGTTGCGTAACTTGGGGTATTGGTCCAGGAAACCACCCTTGGGTTTGCCCGGATGGTAGCCGTCTGACTATACCTATTTATACTGGCGACTGGCGAGATGCTGGCCGGCCAAACGTTCCAGCTGCGAAGCCGGAAGACTTTCCCAAGACTTGCTATCTTGGGAGATATCCCGCTGCAGGCGATAAGCTGATGGTAAGTGAAGTCCTGGCTTAGTTTTGCTAAATAGCCGGTACTCTAAGTAAGGCTAACGATGATAATTTGCAGAAAACTACCACCCGTGGTGGCCAAACGCTATATACATGGTTGAGATCGAACTGCAAAGATGGAAAGCCAGCAGCGCCAGGCAACTGCTATAACTTCAATCCCAACCCGACAGGGTAAGTCTTTACCGTGAGCCTTGACATAATCACGCGTACTAACTGTTTCGCAGTGTCGACTTTTGCGGACTTTATGACTCGAATGGAGGCCTGTGTGCGACGAACAGGACTGCAGGAGAGTGTGAACGTTGGGGCAATCTTTTGCGACCCCAGTGCGATTACTGGAAGCCAGGTCTTGTGGATATTCCTGAACCGTATTACCAAGGCAGAGGTGATGCATTGGGAAAATAAGTGATCGAGCTTAAAAGATTAGAGAAGTAACCCATGATCGAGTAGGTAGAAGTAAGCTAATTTTGAATTACCACTATAGCTTGTTAGTACATATTATAGTTTACTAAATATCATCCTATCTGCTTTATTAAAGTATCTTTCTATAATCTTTAAAACATAATATCTCTCTTATCTTATTAGCTAATAAAGAAATAACTTTTAGAATTGAATTAAGAGATATAATAAATCATATAGTAGTCATTATAGAGTAAAAGCTCTTTAGTAGATAATGTACTTTTTTTATTATATTACTACAACGAAACATTTATTATGCTGTTACTGGCGTTCGTTCCAACTGTGTGAATCGAACTTCCGCTTAGGGACACCTAGCCCTCAACCTCACGTGATTCAAGCAACCAATGAAGCCACGCCATTATTCGACGCCTACACGGGTCTTTTGGTATTCAGTGAATGCTGCAGCTTGACGAATTGTTGCGCTATCTTGTAGATTCGGATATCAGCTTGCCAAAGGAAGACCCATGGTCCGCGGGCTTGGCGCACTTTCCTTTCGCTACTTCAATGCCAATCCTCGCTCCAGACATATTTTTCTTCCTCTGGCAGTCTTGACCACCTCAAACCAGCTACAGCTATACCCCTTTTTTCGGAAATATGGCATCTTTTGACGTACCCATTCTCGGAAGCAGCTTCTGTCTACTTCTCGCTATGATGACTTCATGTCTAATGCGAATCGTAGCTCCTGCTTCTCCAGTTATGCGTGCACAACATTCGGGCAGTGATAACACGCACCCATGAGCAGGATCTGAGCCCGTAGCCTCGCCGTCCTATCTTCAAACTTCGCTCATATGCGATACATCTGTTTAAACTCGCACCTAAATGAAGAACAAGGAGGACTTACCTTAGAATGGCACTGGGACAAGAGATGAAGCGAACAGGTGAGTCCATCATCACGATGTAGCTATGCTAACTATAGAAGTTGGCGCACTAGCACCACCACAAATTTTCACCACCAAAGAAAAATGCCGGCTTTTGACGTAGCAAGTCTTGACCACCTAGTTCACAGGTCATATCTTGGAGAGGAGAAGCCTGCTCACCACCAGCTATTTTGATCCAGGAACATCTGGGAACAAAGTTTTGATGAATTACCCCCTAGAGTAACCTCGAAATTGCAGTTTAGGTTCCGTGGGCGATAGCTCTACACAACCATCAACACGAAAAACAAAGGGGGAGGCTTACTTGTAATGGTGAGGTGATATCCGATTCTGGTAGGTTGGGGTGTGGCCTACCATTCTTTTCTGAAATGATCGATCTGATAGCCTCCGTAGGAAACAGATATAAAAAAGAGAAGTAGTGATGTTGAGGAAGGAGAAAGGTTGTAGAAGAGGAAGAGAAGAGGGCATTAAATACCGTGGTGATGGGCCAGGGCTCGCGATCACGACAACAATACGTGCCTTCGTGCTCCCAACTCAGGGAAGCCGCCGCGATATGTCCCTTGAATGTTATTACCTGCTGAGGGAAGAGCCTCCTCACGACTTCCCATGCAATCGCTCACTTTTGTTGATTTGTCGCGTGGTAAGGGTCACCTACTTTCTCCTTTCTCAACGCTTATCAGCATGTGTTTGGGTTGAAAGGAACGATCGTTCGAAATGCAGCGCACGATATTACAGTTCACTTCTTCGACTGCCTGATGAAGCCACAACAACTTTAAGTCACACTCTCCATATCCCATTCCGACAGGCAACTACCATTACGGCCCTGCCAAGTCGTACCCCTCTTACTGACGTGCAATAGGCTAGTACCCCTGATCGTGTCGGCGGTCCGCACGTACTGCTCGCTCCTCCCTTACATGAAAGAACTATGATGTATAAGATGTGCCGTTTAACAAGGCATGACATTAGGCAGGCATATGCTAGCATACAAGAATAAGGTGTAGTTTCAGCTAGGTGCTTGCTTACCTATCAACATGGACTGTACATAATTGTCTTCGTGTATCGAAAACAGTTGGTGAATCACAGTGCGGCTGGAAGAGTTAGACACCCAACAAGAATAATTATGTGAGGTGGTTTTGGGCCAGGTACGTCTTCCAGTCTACAACACTATATCTCGGCACTTCGAGATAGTTGTTGGTTCGAAACTATGTATGTCGACTTGACGATAGATTCGTACTACTCTACATTAGTACAGGTGTATGCTAATCTATGGATGGAGTGAACATTGTTGCTATCTCTACTTTTACTAGGCTATTATTAATCGAATGTAGACGGTAGACACTATAATACAAGGCTACTATGTTTGCAACCCACCCAGCTCCTCCATCAATCCACAAAGCGCCCGAATCAGCGGCGGTCCAGTTTCCCTATCCACATCGGGATGTGTTGCATCAAGAAGCGCCACACCTGCTTTCATAACCTGCCAAGGATATCTGAGATCGCATGTGCCGGAGTTGGTCGTGCCTTGAACTTCAGATTGCACACCAGCATCACCGTCTGTTATCCGGAGACAAGGTATCCCGGTGTTCATCATGATGAAGGCATTTAAAACAGACTGGTTGGAACACCGCGCATCATCTAAAAATACGAGCGTTGGCCCGTCCGGTATCGCTGCTACTTCACCTTGGGTAGGGGTATTGCACCCTGTCTTGCGGGCGCAGTCGCTTGTTATCATGCTGTAGGTCCACAGGACCATGATCGAGTGATATATTATGAATGAGTCCTGACCTCGATTCTGATATGGAGGGATCGCGCGCGCAGCATGCAGAACTTGGCCTGCATGTGCTATTATTGCGTTAGCAGACTCTGGTCCATGGCCGTGCTTGTAGAGGGCTGATGGGGTACGTACCGATTGCCGTGCGAGCTTCACGAGATTTACACCATGGTTGCAACGCGATATATGCACGATGTGCAGCTTCCTCGCCACATCGCCCGGCGAACCGAGTGATAGTGTCCAAGTCCGCAAATAGGTACATTTGGAGGAATTGCTGGAACACACATATCAAAGCGGTTGAGCTATTGAGAACGATGTTCGTGTCTCGTAGGCATTCTTGTAGCTTTTGTTGGCGAGATCGAGACCATAGTTGGGAAGAAGCGTCACTCATGTCGTGGAGAAGTACTACTTGTTGGCAATGCTCCCAAACTTGCGATGCTAGTCCGTGGATATACGCTGAGTGTGCAATACGCGTGTCGAAACCAGCATGGAGACAAGAGACGGAGTCTGGTTCTTGGAGAATCAATCGCATAGAGGGACGTGAGCTAGCAGGTTGCATATTCATCATACGCGCCTTCCAAATTTCAGCGGATGGTGCAAGCCACAGTGACTCTGAAGCGGGCAGTGGGAGTGTAAGCTCTGCGTAGGAAAGCAAAGGCTGTCGGTGGTTTACCATGGTCATATATATGTCGTGTTCGAAAAGATGATAGACCAATCTTTTAAAAGATTCGAGCTCAACCCATTGATTCCACTTCCTGCTCAACTCCTCTCCATCGTCTTCTGACGTCGGTACGATATTCGAATATCGAACATCGTCGAACCTGCCCGCCCGACGTAATGACGTGACGAGTACTTGCAAGGAGCTTTCAGCTAATTCCATCTTGCGCCGAAAGCCGCAGAATGCGCCGATGTCGAGCCAGAGCATGCAAGCTTGCAGATACTGTAATTCACGCATGACTCCGTTATCTCGCTCGGCAAGCTCCCTCAGAGAAACCCGGACAATCTCTTGAAGGACAAGTCCAGTCTTGTTTACTGATGGTATGCCAAAGCATATGCAACCTGCTACGACTAGCGCTGTCAGGAATTCCGGTCTAGCAGTATCGGAGTTGAACGTGTAGGGATGTATCCAAGCGTCTCCTTCAGTTCGTTTGGCTATACCAACTTTGGTAAGCTTATCAAGACAGTCTGCCGATGGGAAAGACGATATTGTCACCTGACTAGGAGCGGTCTTGAGAACGAGCTGGAGTATCTGATCACGACTCTGTTGTGACAAGTGACCAGGAATGACTACATTAGATGCGTGAGGCTGGTGGGGGGAGAGAGCAAGATCCACTTGCCGCTCGTCAAGCGTGATACCTTCTTGCTCGCTGAAAGCGTTCTGGTTACGCTCTGGTAGCCAGAACCATGGTGACTGCTTGAAAACAGCATGTCGCCGCCGCACTGCATCGCCACTATTGGTCGCTCGAGCATCATTGACAATAGTGCCACCTGGTGTAGTTGTCGTGCCAACACGAGCGGTATTCAATGACGGCGAATTGAACGTCTCATCTATGGCTGGCATGAAGTCAGCCCCAAAGAGATCAACTTCTCCTAGCCAGTCGGTTTCAGGTAGCCATGCGGTAAGACCAGCGGACGGGTGCAAGTAGTCAGTCGCAAGAAAGTCTGATTGAGTAACCATGATCTGCTCGAAGAAATTCGACAGGCCTTGTGATGGATTGGCTGCTTCATGGTAGATTTCTGAGATGCCTCGGTTAACGGTAGCAGCGTCCATGAATGCATCAACAGGATACATTAAATTAGGCCGTGGTTCTTCTTGGCTCAACAAACGCTCTGATATCTGCTCGACAGGCGCGCCGGGATCAGAAACAGAGACACTTTGCTTATCTGGAATTTGCGTGGTACATGGAATATTCTTCTTGAGACATCTTTGGCATGGCCGATAATTGTCGCATTTTACTTTGGAGATGACGCAGGCGTTGCATGCCTTGGTCGCTCTCTCAACAGGGCGATTGAGGCTTGGTTGCCCTTCTGCAGCATTCTTCGCATGAGTAGATTGATGTCGAAGAAGTAAGTCTCTGTCATCGCAACGTTGTCAGTAGTGGATTTCCGTGTTTCGTGTACGACTCTTGCGATTTTGCAAGCAGGTGCCGGGACCTAGAACTATGCCAGAACCAGAAAAGGTAAGTAAGATTAGTACTCACCTCCGATTGAATGCTGCAGGACACTCTTTGCAACGAAAAGACCTTTCGTTCCGATCTGGAGCCCATAAGCGTCATGTACGAAGGGTGGGGGGTCCAGTTCTTACGCGAGTCCAAATGCCGGTTCAGGTGGTCAAGCCGGTCATAGGTGCGGTGGCACACCTGGCACTGTAGCGACGACACGTTGTCCGTGTTAGAGGACGCTCGAGCCCGCTTTGATGGTCTGATAGTCACAGCATCGGTTTCCGCTGACATTTGGCAGTGGAATGAGTGGTAGCGGAATATGTGGAAAGAATCTGGGGTATGTCGACCATGCGTTAATTGCTGTCGGAACATGTGGGCACCCCCAGGCTATTTCTCTCCACCTCGGTTGTACAACAGCCCGTTGTCTGCGGGGGCCCCGCACGCCTGGAACCTCGCAGCCGTGCCACCGGCATTGAATGCGAGTCATGAATCATAGGTGCTAGATTTTGTAACCAGATTTGATACGATTTCCCGATCACGTATCTTGGCAAGGAATTGTTGGATCACGTCCAACTGTTATCCTTTGGTCGACGACCGTATTTGCATAGATGCGAAAGACGCTGATGAGTGCATCAATTCAGTTTTATTTGAAGACACAATAAGGAGCTTGCTAGTTTATGCGACGAGATTAGTCCTGGGAAAGGTAGTTTCAAATCTATCCATGGGTGACCCGAGGTCAGTTTGGTTAGAGTTGTTGCTACTGGTATATAGTTTGATATCAGCTTGTCAAGCTGTTCGAAAGACACGAAATGTGCAAGGACAAGTATTGCCACGGCCGGGAAGTGAATCTCCACTCCTCCACATATCGATACGAAGTTGTTATTGGAGGATCAGCGGCAACGATTTGATTTCAGGGCCCAATGTAACATCCTCGCCATCTAAGACGTGCCAAGACCTTGTGGTTCGGATTATGTGGGCGATTTTCGGGCCACCTGGGGAGCCACATGGGCCGTATCTCGGCAGGTAAGGCATATGATGGGTGATTTGTATCGGTTGTAATAATTTTGCCCACGCTGCTCGCGATTGGCAATAAGCTACCACTCAGTTTTCAAGCCACGTTGCCCAGTATGATCCAAACTGCCACGCAGACTGTCCCAGTGACACTAAAGGCTGTCGGCGAGAACTCGATGAGGATCGATGGGTCGAAAACTAACTATGGCGACTGGAGGGACGATCTGGCTCGTGACGGTTATGCCGTCGTAAAAGGCGCAATTCCGAGAGAGAGAGCTGATGCTTATGCCAACAAAATGTACGAGTGGCTGGAAGGCTTGTAAGTCGGGATAGTCCCATCCACTGCTGTAGCAACATTGACATGTTTGATAGTAACTTGGGATTCGATCGAAATGACCTTTCGACTGTCCATAGAGATCGATTGCCCACTATCAATGAGAAGGGCATGTGCCTCAACTATGCCGTAACACACGAAGACTTTGCTTGGGGTGTACGGGGAGAGCCAGGCGTTGTAGGAGCTTTCGAAAAGATATACGGTGACAAGGACCTTATTGTCTCATTCGACGCCATCAACTTTACCTTCCCAAAGTGAGCTACTGTTCTCTACTGCCATCCGAACCAACTAATCAGACGATAGTCGGACAGACATAGAGCCCAACAAACCATGGCCTCACCAAGATCAGGACCCAGCGAAACCGGGGTTCAGATGCATGCAGGGCCTCGTCAATCTGCTACCTAACGGTCCAGATGATGGCGGCCTTATAGTATGTCCAGGTGGCCATCTCTTGTCTGACGAGTTCCATAAAGACATGGCCGATGAGCCACGTATTCCGGCATGGACTCCTGAATGGTATGGATTTACAGAGAACGGCATGAAATGGCTCGAGAACAAGGGTCTGAAGTGGGTTAAGGTGTGCGCTGAGCCCGGCGATCTGTTACTCTGGTGGGTCATCTCTTTATCTCCGCATTCTTTCCTTAATATGCGTGCTCACTAGGAATAAGGGATTCCCGTACTCCTCACTATAACCTCGGATCGAAAACGAATCAGCCAAGGTTTGCTGTATATACTTGCTACATGCCTGTCAGTCACGCCACTCAAGGGGATCTTGTACGCAAGAAGGATGCCTTCGAGCGGTATGTTGGCACTACTCATTGGCCCAACGCAAGACACACTGGCTCCAACGTGGCAAAGCGCGATGGGGAAGATGACCCATACAACCGTTTTGAGCCCATCAACAAACCAGTCCTTGATGAGCGTACTTTCAAGTTGACTGGTATCCCGTACATCAAGGCTTAGATTGTGCAAATTTCATACAAATGTATCACCTATATTCAAACCATGATCCAATCCTTGGAAGAAATAAAACAACATCCGTTCAGTGAGTGATTTTGCTCTCCAGAAACATGAGGCCCACGACCGTGTTGTGCAAGGATATCATGATCGCCAACCAGGGCGTAACCGGTTTCCCTTTGGATCTAGCAAGATCCACCACAAATTCGACAGCAGTGGAGCATTACGTTTGCACACTACTCAGTCGATGATATACTTATGATGCCTTTTGAGAATGCAGACACGCTTTAGCTGCCTCCCATGCCATATCAGTACATAGGTACCGCTCCAAGAAGGACTTGGTACATCTTTGCATCACCAGGTATCGTACCAGGTCCTTTGTCACTCATAGCGTTCCATTGACTTTCCTAGTTCATCAAGTATCCTGATAAATCAACCGATATCACGACGCACCTATAACCGCCATTGATGACAGTTGCCATGAGGCAAATATGGCGTCTAAAGCACAAACACATACATTGGATCACGTTTGGTTCTGTTGAGATGATTGAGTAAATTTGTGATTAACACCACTGAAAGATACTCCTAAATATGCATCAATATCATGAAACGAGACATCTTTCGAGAGCAGAGGAAAGGTATACTACAGGCGTGCTCGGTGACCGTCTCTCATTGGCTTAGAATCCATCCAAAGTCTAACACACGCCATCTTTGACCATCTTCAGAACACCGTTTATTGATTTAAGAGGTTGTCCATAACTCAACGAGACATTGAGGGAAGTCCGACCCGTTTCGCCTGTGCCCATCGACCCGTATAAGCCCTGATCTGCTTTCCATACAAGAAGATAGGAATACCTAGGCATCCAAAGAGTCCCGTTAGCCCAGCATATGTACCAAAAGATCCGTCGTATCCAGCAGTATCGATGAACTTAGCCACACCATAGCTTGTACCAAAGGACACAAATCCGCGGAAAGCTGTAATGACGACAAGAACAGGCCCGGCTCGGGCAGGATAGGAGTCGAGTAGGTACGTGATGGCAGCAATGTTGGCTCCAAGAAAGCAAAAGTAGTATCCTGAATTAGCGAAGACAATGACGAACCAGTGGTATTTCTCTGGATGTTCGCCAGCCTGGCCGTAGAGTGTAGCGGAGAGGATGCCAACCATGATTGGGATCCAGAGTGCGAGCAGGCGGTTCTCAGGCTCATGAAGACCGCCATTGCGCTTAGCTCGCCATTTGATAATCTTATCGGACCCGTAACCAAGAAGAGGAAGCGTGACAAATGCGACAACGACCTGTCCGGCATTTACATATGATGCTGCATCATCACCCCAGTTGTAAGGAGCACTTGTGACGATTTTACCGTAAGTTGTACCAATGGCGATGTTTATTCCACTGCAAGGTTATCAGTTTTCATAGAAGTCTCACGGATGGGAATGTACTGACATCGTTAATCCGTTGAGACAAAACGCCCACAGGACATTAGGAAAAAGGAGAATTTGGAAGGTGTTCTGGCCGAAGTTAGTTTGGCTATCAAAAGATTGCGAGTCATTAGCATGACTTACAATAAAGCTGTAATAACCTTCAGCCCAATCAGGGTCTCCAACAAATAAGCGCATATCCGATTTCAGAGTTCGTGGTTGATACTTGGTCAAGTCAAAGGCAGGTTTTTCTGATAGCTTCATCGGTCGTGTTGTCATCTCTCCCTCGTCCTCCTCGCCAGTGGATTGGCCATATGCTTGAAGGGTGCGAGGATAACGGCTCTCTGGAACGAGGAATATCGAAAATAGTAGAGTCGCGCCCGCAAGTCCCGCGCCTAACCTGTACCAATTTGCAGGGCCAATTGCTCCAGCTAGAGGAGATGCAGCAATAGTAAGACCAGCCGAGAGGATAGTTTGGATCGAGGATTGCCACATAAGGAAAGTACTGCGTTCATGTATAAAGTGAATTTCCTAAGATACGGGATAAGTAGCCAATTTATGGATCAACTGCGTGCCTCTCACCTGAATCATCAAAGGTACCAGAGCCTCACTTTGACCAGCAGCGAGACCGAGCACCATTCTTGCACCCAGGTGGTAATTGTAGTTAGTTGCTTGTGCCGCCAGCAGGGCGCCTAATATTAGTACCACCAGCGATGCGAGATAGACTGGCCTTCTGCCGACTGACAAAGCCAACGGTGTGCATGTAAGACAGCCGACGCCCATGAACATTGATGGATACGTCATGAGAGCAGTGATATCGGCGTAATCAGCGCCATGTTTAGAATAGTCTGGGATGTAAAATCCCAATAAACCACCAAACCCAGAAACCATCGAAAGGCCAATACTAGAGACTACCGTTTTAATTAGTTATCGAACATGTAGATTCAATTGTGAAATCTCACATATCGATAGGAGAGCGATAAAGATAATTTTCCTCCATCTAGGCAAGTTAAGCGGATCTAGAAGAATGATCAATGACACATAAATAGAGAAGGCACTGTAGTGAGTCACCTCTTGGGTCAGCACTTGGTGCAGGTACGAGGTATATGTCTTTGTCATCAGTGATGGCTACCGTGCCCATCGTCTGGCTTTGGTACAGGCCATCTTTGCTCTCCTCGTCAGTCGAGAGACACTCAAACCTCTCTACATTTACCTCCAAGGGCTTCGCATCCTTAGTTGTGTCGGCCATCTCCAGAAGGAGTTAACTAGGTGAATGAAGAGTTTTGTGGAAATTAGATGTCTGATAATAGAAGAAATGACCCGCTCGCCTCAATCCTGGGAGAGCCCAGCAAGATCGCTGATGGTTTGAAGCATTATCACGACCGGGCATTCATATCTTTATCAATGCTCGCTGTCGTCTCGAGTCGCTCCCACTGCAACCGATGAATCTCGGAAGCTGTGTGCTTGGAAGCTTGGAACACAAGAAAACTCCACATCCCGTATCTCTTTACCGTTGCCACAAATCTCATATCGGGCATTTTTCTCCACGGGGTAAATATGCGGGGTAGGACCCACATGCCAGTTGGGCTTGGTGATGGGTACTATAACCGAACTAGCGTTCGGAGAGTGGGCGATGGCTTGCAGCCACACAGTTCCGAAGATCTGTTACAACGTGAGGCCGGCTGGTTTCAGCTGGGGATAGCTTCATTGACGGATTTGGTATCAAGCGAAGCATTTCCAAGATTTGATATCATTGGTTGGAAAAACGTATTATTTGCAAAACTTGAGAAGTATCCCACAAAGACCTGCGCAACGTGCTCTGTAAATTACCAAGTATCATTATCATCGAGCAAGGCTTCTGAGTATCGTCCGCTATAGCAAATTGGACTTGTTTCCATGACTACGCAGCCATATATTAATCACTGAGAGAAGTTAGTGTTAGTCGCCTAGGTCAACAGATCATAGAGTCAAATCTATAGAGTGTCACATCGCAAATTGGGGAACGGGCTCGATAGTAGTACATTACATGATTCATCCAATTCTAATCATCTATCATTATATTGAGACAAACGGGAGAATAACATGACTAGGTGTATCGGGACCAGTGTGAACCCTGTGCTCGCCTTTGTTTCTCTCGTGCTCTGGGCGCTCGGTTGAAAATGCGGTATACTCCGCAATGGATGGGAATGTTCCTGAGATCTGAATCGTTCGTCAGTAATCATGCAATATCAAATCGAGTTTTCCAAAAGAGGCTCACCTGGACACTAATCGATTGTCCCTTCTCAAAGTCTACACCCATAGACCAAATGCCAATTTCGAGTTTTACGATGTCACCCGGTTTCACCTTTTCTTCGATGTCATGTGGGTGGAAGGGAAAATTCTCGTGGATAGACTTTTCTGGGATAAATCGCCGGTGGCTTGCACGTAGAGCGCCTACACTTCCCATGTGTAAGTTCGTGCTCTGGCGATCCTTTTCAGGAATATCCGCAATGCTCCTGATGCCATCCGGAACTGCAGAAAATGGAAAGCAGAGATGCATCATAAGTTGACCGTCCTTGTCGCGCTTACGTAGGATGACGAAGACGTTCATGTCGTCATGTGATGGGCAAGACATGTAGAGGACTGCTTTTGGTAGCCCAATGAGTCGGGACTTTTCTGTGAAAGTATAACTGAACTCTGCCATTGACTTTGCGTCTTCGGAGTTGTAGGACACTATCTCTGGTGAAGAGACTGGCATTTCGCTGAGGCCTGATTTTGAAAGATGGAAATGGCGATACTGCGTATCTGGTATGGGGAAGTCGGCATATTCGATGTTGTCAATTGCGTCTTGATCTCCAAACTGCAATGCGGACCATCGCACCTTCGGTACCGATGTCTCCCAATCATTAGCGATGCCCTTGAGATAGAAGTCGAAGTATTTCTGAAGTTCGTCGTGCGAGTGTTTAACACAATACAGCTCATACCACTCTTGATATGAGCTCCATCGGATCCACTTCTTATCATGAGGGATTTCGAGCCACGCTCTCACAGAACCCATGGTATGAATACTGCTGAAATCGCTTCCACTTATGTATACAGGACACTGGATTTGGGTCATGTCTGGTCGCTTGTCTTCCCAATAGGCATTGGAGACTGGTGACCTTCGATACATCTCGGCCATATCCTCAATGCCGCCGTTCGGGTTGTTCGTCTTGATGATGAACTTTGTGATGAGATCAAAGTTGGACATTGAGAAGATACCACCACGGCAGAACTGCTCCCGATAGATATCACCGGATCCCTCCCAAGGCGCAATGGCAGCTAGGTGGGGTGGGCGAAGTGAAGCGACGTGCCACTGTATGATTGCCAGCGCTGAGTTTCCTGCCATTCCGACTTTTCCATTGCTCCATGGCATGGCTGCAAGTGCTTCAATAACGTCATAACAGTCTTCGGCGTCCTGAGATCCCATGAGGGGAATGGATCCATCGGAATCCCCCGTGCCGCGGGAGTCGACTGAAACGATTGCATAACCGCGGGGGCACCACGTTACCGGATCAAGGCCTTCGAACTTTTCCAAGCCGCTCAAGGACTCCTTGGGCACACAGCATTGCCACACAGTCATAGGCAACATATGAAGAGCTGAATATTTTTTCCCGTAACAAGACCAACTGACGACTGCGGGCAGCTTCTCGTCATCCTTCGCATCTGCAGGTCGATAGATGTCTGCGTACAACCGTACACCATCGCGCATCTTAATCTCCACATCGTGATCTATCCGAATATCGCTCTCCAAAGCGCGGCCTCCATAGGGTCGGTCACCCTTTTTGACAATCTCGACTTTTCCGGGTGTGAAACCTTTGTAATTGTTGATACCAACTTCAGGTTGAGATATGCGCTTATACGCAACTTGGGGTAATTGAGCAGGCATAATGGGATACCCTAGAGGAGATGATAAGTATCGAAGAAACGCAGATAATGTAAAACAGTATCACTTCAAAAGATATATCAGAAAGTCAAAGGAGGCGGGATGTAGATGCTTTATGAGCTGCAAAGATGTTTATAGAAATTGTGTAAATGCTGGTATTCCTGACGAGTTTCCGGAGACAGTTAGTGCGCCTCCCCTCACTCACTCGGCCGTCCTGGGCCGTGCTCTGTCAAGTTTAGCGTACAGATGCCCACATTTGCCGACTCGGAATTGTGGGCGCATCACGGGGCGAGACTTCCGGAACCCCACATAAGTAATGATTAAGTGGTATCTCACAATAGACATTTAAAGCTTTCAAAACAGTGTTATTGAAGTCAATACATCAACCCTCGTTGTGTACAGCAACATAAATAACTCTTAATCAACTTCTCTGCAAGTCAAATCATTTATCATGGCCCCTCATGCTGAAGAGCCCAAGGCCGACACCGGTGTCGACCTTATACAGCACGATGGAAAGACGTATGGAGATTGGCGCGATGACTTTCACCGTGACGGCTGCGCAGTGGTGAAGGGTGTCATTACACCAGAACGAGCCGAATACTACAAACAAAAGCAAATCGAATGGCTGCAATCGTTTGGTCTCGGCTTTGATCCGAAGGACGAATCCACCTGGACTGCCGACCATCTCCCCGTTAGTTTCAAAGGCGGCATGTACTTCGCCTACGCTAGCACCCACGAGAAGTTTGTCTGGGAAGCCCGAACAGAGCCCAAGGTCGTGGATGTATTCACGAAGCTATGGGGCACTGACGAGCTTCTGTGCTCCTTTGATGGCATGAACATTACCCTACCACGACAAAAAGACTTGAATTGGAGCCCATGGCCACATTGTGATCAAAACGAGAACCGCAAGGGAATGCAATGTGTACAGGGTTTGTTGAACTTTCAGCCCAATGGACCGAAAGATGGTGGTTTGATCTTGATGAAGGGTAGTTCAAAACTGTTCGATGAATTCTTTTCCGAAAAGCGAGAACAGGACGAGCACGAGGACAAGCCACCGCCAGAGGAGGAGATGAGAGACCTTTTCATCTTCAAGGAAGAAGACGTGAAGTGGTTTGAAAGTAAGGGTTGCACATTGCAGAAGATGAATCTGGACCCTGGCGACTTGGTATGTGTATGAAGAGACCCGTTTCGAGCTGTGGCTAATTCAATATTCAGGTTCTTTGGGACAGCCGGACGATGCACTATGCCGCTCATCCTCAAGGCGATCTTATTCGACACGTGCAATACATCTGCATGACACCACGAAAGTTTGCAAAGGAAGAGGACGTGAAGCTAAAGGCTGAACTGTTCCAAAAATTCCAGGGCACCACTCACTGGCCTCACTGCAACATCCACAAGGCTGGTCCACCACTACGCAACGGCAAGTTATGTCCAAAGGACCGGAGTGAGCCTCTAGAGAAGCCGGTCATCACAGACCAGATCTTGAAGTTGGCCGGAGTGAAGGCGTACTAAGCAACGTGTCATCTTTGCATTGGTACGTAGATAATTGGGCTTTGATAAGATGCCTGGGGTTATCTGGGCTGCTATGGCGATCCGGTACATCAATTTCGTATCCATTTGATACTCTACAATAACAATTTCGACGTGAGGAATATGACACAGATTAGTATAACTGTGTTAGAAATGTCTTTCACGAATGAGAAGTTATGATTACGTTCTTTCAAGTTACCCCCTTGGTGTACTATAACATCCTAATTAACGTACAACTGTGTTCTGGAACTTGATTCAAATAAGACAGCTTGCCACCCAAAGCGCCAAAGCGCCAAAGCGCCAAAGCTTGGAGCTTCAACTAAAATTGTTTCTCTGGCTGATCAGGCATGCCGAGTTTCCAACCTAGGCAAGGATCGGGCCTATGAAGCTTAGTCAATCCTCTCTCACATTGACCCGCGCTAGGGTTTGCAACACACTCCCGACCTTTGCTATCAACTATCAGGCAAACTGTAGATCTTCATTCAGACGTTAGCATGGTTGTTTTTGATTAGAATGACTTCTACGTACGAGCCAGGGTTGGGTCGTTTATTGTAGCAGTTGACGGGAGGGTTCTTGTCCGTACACGTCTGGCTTATGAACGAGTACATCTTTCGATCAAGGTCCAGAGTTTTAACCTGTATAACAATCAGCCATGGGCCCTTTCCGCTAGATGTGAATTCGACTTGATAAAAAAATAACATACAACAAGTAAATCATTAGCACCAGGCTTGGCACCGTAGAGGCAATGGTCTGGAAACTGAGACTTGGAGATGATATCGTATTCACCCGCCGAAGTGCCAAGGTCTGCCGATGCAGATTGTTGAAGGTTCACGCCTGTGCCATCAGGGCATCTGAAGGGGTCGGGTAGCCGTGTTACGCCTGAGACGCAGCCTCCCGCATTGTTGCAAACCTTCGCATTCCAGACTGCAAAAGCTCCTGAGGTCAGGAGTGAGAGAGTGACAAAAAAGCGCATATTGTAATATTTTGATTGGGCGAGTAGGATATGTATATTCAGGATATTATGATATTCGTTGCATCTAAGACCTCACCATATATACATAACCACGGCATTCACGGTCCGACTATAGATCAATTTGCTGGCATACCAGGCCAACTTCGCAGAGATCTTAGGGTTGACCGCTCCTTTAGAACTTGGCGTACCAAGTACACTAGTCTATGTGCTGTTTAGCCTTTCTCTCCAAATGAATATAATCGTGCGCCGTCGCCGCAAATTCGTATTTATATAATTTGCCGAAATAAACTGACAAAGAGAACGCTGAGTTTGGCAAGTATATACCTATCTAACCCCAAGTTTAACAAGGGCTTACAGTTAGGCGGTATGTTTAGTGAGATATCGAAGTAATACCGAGTTGACAATGATTCTATTTGTGAAAGAACAAAACATTTGTGGAGTTCGCTGTCAAAAGTATGGGCCAACATCTCCCTTATCGGCCCTATTTATCCCTGGCAAAACAAGGAAATCCTAACTTCATTATAATCCTTAACCCTAAGAACATCTATTATCTTCTAAATTTTTGATTTTATACAAAAAACCATGAGAGTTATTCAATATCCTACAATAAGTATTCAAATTTATATAGAAGCAGTTAGGGTAGCGTTTGATTTATATATGTTTATTTTTGAAAGGCTTAGAGGCGTAGAAGGTAGCTTGCGCTCCGCCGGATTTGAGGCAGTACTATGCACACCCCTATTAGCTAATGCTTTTGACAGTGACGTCCGTATCTGCTTCATTTTTCATCCACCAATCGAATTAATTGATTGCCAAGGGTAGTCCGAGAACTTCTGCTCGTATATATGCATTCCAAGAGCCGAGTCGTTAGTGTAGCACCCAGCGTCGATAGTTCGGCTTAACCTCCACCAGGGAAGTCTATTACAAAGGGGTTCAGCTGGTTGCGCCTACTCTCTATTTGAACCTTTATAGTTCGATCTACTATTCTGCATTCTCTTTCGCTCAGTACTCTCCTACGTGTACAGCTTATTATTGTGAATTTTGTCTAGCGTACAACTGTTTAAGCACGCATACTAAGATCAGTAATAGAGGGTGCTTATGCAAGAAGAAATGGACACTAATTGTGATTCAATCGGCTTTGCCTGAGAATGACCCGCATTCGGTCACCCAACCGCCATAACAACATTTTATCGCTATCCTACACAGAAGCTGCCGAGGGAAGAGCAGCAGAATAAGAGTCCTACTGGTCGTGGTCATTTATGCGGAGAGCTGCTTGCTTTCGATCGTCATACCCGCGAACATCGTAGACGATTGACTTGGCGATGGAACCTTTAGCGTAGGTCGTAATTTGGAACTGGCCTTCCTTGGGACCAGGATATTGATTGTACTGAATAGAGGTCCAAAGGTAGGATCAAGTTCAGAGTCTGCTACTCCCTAACTCCTGGACATTTCCTCGTGGGATCAGTTATGGATAACTGACAAATTGATCGTCTTCATCATTGCAATCCAGCCCACAGCTTTGCGCTGTCGTTTCATTCTCTTGCAGAATTCCTTGTTCAAATTTTCTAGCTTCTTTTTGGCTCGCCCATTTTGCAGGAAAATCTTTGAAGAAGTTAAGTTCGCTGCCCCTCATCGAGAATCCGTGGGGTTCTTGGTACACACCAGATCAAGCTCACCAACGTTCAAAGGCTGAGTTGCAGATAATCATTTCTCATATGGTCAATGATAGGATGCGAGTACTCATTCTCGATATGGTATTTTATCGAACTGTGTTATGAGAGACTCCGTAAGCTCAGCAGATTCAGCCAACCATTTCTCTTTGCTAGCGCCGTGCGTTGATAGTATTTCATCAGCTACGCCGCATATGGCAGGCTCATAGACGGATAGCGTTGTAGTTTTTCTTTGATAATTCACGTATTACATAATTTGGAGAAATCCATCTTAAGAGGCCACAACTCTTAGTATCTTAGAGCAAATCTACTACACCATCTCTCAATTAGGTATACAGCCCCTTTGGAAACTTCTCAAATACATAGCCCATAGGTACTTTCTCTTCTTCTCCAAAGACTGTCACACACAAATACATCTCTTTTGGTATCCACGCGTATCTTGGCAATAGTACCTTATTCCCTAGTGACTGCGCAACTTCATCAGCTGATACAACGAACTTTCGGTTCCCAGTTTGTTAACCACTGGGGCTAGTAGCCGACCAGTACTAGGGTACGAATCGTCAAGCACGACGAGATCATTCGCGCAGAATATGATGATCCAGAGGACGGTCAACTGAAAAGCGGGGATCGCGACAAGTATCGCAATTGTATAGCCCATTGAATCTTCAGCTGGAATGTCCTCCTCAAAGTATCGACAGGTATTCGAGCACTAGGCAGACCTGAAGGCGAAAGTTCTCCTGGCTGGGACTTTATTCTCTGGTCTGCTGCTGCCACAGCGGTCATGGTAAGGTGAGAAATCACATCAGCGACTTCAGCAGTGGTTGCAGGGGTATGCAGGTCCCTATCGTAGCCTATGGACCATGGAAATGTTTCTTTAAAACCCGACATCAGAAGCCAGTGACCGAGGCCAAGATACAAGGCAAGAGACACATAGAGCTTTTCTGCGACAAGCCTAGGGATAACATCCTCTGCAACAAGTTTTTCAGTCTCCCTTGTTGTTGATGAAATAACCGGCATGGATATAGTCCACATACAGTAGAAGACCTTTTTTGACATACCCTCTTGCTCCCATATGACGTTATTATCTGGGTTATAAAAACTACCGTTAGGATAGAGGTCGGTGACGACAATTTACGATCTCCCAATGGTTTCAAAGGGTGACTTGAAGCTGTCACTCCGTGGTGACTCACGAAGCCTTATAGTGATATAATATTGCATCGTCGTCAAAAATATATTCGTGCTCCAGGTAAATCTGACAGTCTTCATCGCGTAGCTTGAGTCGAAGTACTTCATTTTGACCATCTTTCATATAGCCCCCTTCTTCACTGCTTACCATGGAGATGATAGAACGTATAGTGCGAGCTCTCGCCCTGTACCAGGCATGCGTATCATTTAGAAGATACTGCCAGCATTCCGCAACTTGGCAGCGATCGGTCTACTAGTACCCGTCGGCCTACATTCGTACGATATTATAATACAGACATAGCCAAACAAGGTTTCTACCTCTTTGTCTAATTAACTGACTATCTGTCATATTTAAGATACCTCAACAACCTTTGTTGAGGATTTAACTTCAACACTACGGCTCCTGCCCTCCAGCAATCGAAGCTCTGAGTTAACATCATTTCGATGGCGCTAAGAATAACCCTTACGTTTGCCCATGACTGGATCTTTATGCTTGTTTCAATAAAGGCGGAGCATGGATTGTACATGCATCCATCTCTGACTACAATTATCCAAGTCAGCTTCGCATCCTTGTAGGTAGGGTACGATCATTTTTGAGAAAAACGTGGGGATGTGCTGGGAGAGAGCCAAAGACAAGCAAGGACTCAACTTGGGAAGATTCAGGAAGGGGAAAATGCAGGTCCAGATGAGCGAAGTATTATAGAGTAGGATTGGACAGAACAGCTAGAGATTAACGGAGGACGGCATGTGCCTAGGGAGGGATCAAGAGATAATCCAATTTGGGAAAGCGTTAAATACTAGGTAAGTAAATACGAACATTAGATATGAAAGAAATCATGGAGTAATACCGGAATGCAAAGAACTGGGATAGGAAGAAGTGACAAATCTTGGATACAGGAGGCCGCCTCATTCGACTTCAGTTACACTGATCAGGCACTGTTTTGGTGCTGTGACAAGAGAATCATACATATCCCATGAGACAAGCTCCTCTGGTAGATCAAAGTCGAAGGACCAGATCAGCAGAGAAAGTATGATGCGCAACTCTAGGTAACCCAGCCTCTTGCCCCAACACCCTCTGTTTCCCGCACTAAAGGCAAGATTTGGACCGCTTGAACTATTAAATACAACGCAGCCATTCTTGTCCTTACTCAGCCAGCGTTCGGGCTTAAACAAACCGGGATCTTGAGCATCCCAGTTCTGCCTCAGATGGCTATATGACCTAGCCGTCTCGCTGCGGTCTCGCTCATCAACATCAACCGATGGCATATTCAAGGACGGGCCAGTAAGATTAAGAAACACCTGGGTATCACCCGGGATAGAGTGACCAAGCACTACAGTGTCCCTGCGTGTGGTCACCATGATGGTTACCACGGGGCTGTTCAACCCTAGTACTTCTTCGATAAAGGCGTCTAAGTAATGCGCATGCATACTCGTAAGTTCTGTTGCGGTGGGTAGTCGCTTCTCGCGCCGCGCCGCACTATACGTCTCGTGTAGATTGCGGCGGATCTTTGCTTGCTCACCCGGGTGAGACATAAGCCTGCGCATGAGCCATATAAGCGAGCCGGTTGAGGTATCGTGACCCGCAATGAGATAGCCGTAGATCTCGTCGCGGATTCGGGGATCTTGGAGGTTTGGGGCGCGTTCTTCCTTTTCTGCCGCTCTTATCTCGCGCTGAATGACGTGGTCCAAAGCCGATTCGGGCTGGCATCCTCTCGCGAGATTTGGTGCGGCTTTAGCGATTCGCAATTCGATGTACCCCCGGAGTGTACGTCCTGCATCTCTGACAGATGGTCGCAGTTTATTAAGTCTGTGATAGAGCCATGGTGAGGGCATATAAAAACCTTTCCAAAGGAACTCCTCATCGACACTGAGGGCCGCGAGCTTCGTCGATCTTCCGGCACTTGGAATCTTAATGGGTTTGTTGATAGAGGTGTTGGTCACCTCATGGCGCTCGTCAAATTCTCTTTGGCGTAGAAAGGACAACTGGCGTTGCACATCTCCCTGGCCGTTTTCCAAACCGATGGCAGCACTCAGGATGGAATCAAAAGAAAACTCCACAATGTCTTCGGATGCTTCAAATGGCCGGCCTTGAGCGATATTTGCCTTTAGCCTCCAAAGCTCTACAAGGCTCTGTGCTACTATATACGTATGGGGTGCATTAACCTGTAGATGTCAGCCTTGATCTGATATTGAGATTGGCTATTTCAAAAGCACTTCTTGAAAGATGTACCTACTTTATTCAAAAAAGATGGCACCATAAGATCCCGGACGAGGTCCCTGCTGCTCTTGAACCTCGGATCAAAAGTCTCCATAGCGGGGTGGGCATACGGGAGGACACCGCTGAAAACGTCCACCTTCTTCCCTCTCTTGAAGTCGACGGCGTCTCGGTGGCTCAAAATATCGTTAACTTCAACATAATCCGAGATAAGGACAGCAGGTTTTGCAAAAGGTCCTAAGAAGATCTGCGTTATAGCAGAGTTGTGTCTCCTGGCCTGCTCAAGAAACCACGGTCTCAAGCTTCCACCATTCTTCTGTCTCTCTCCCAGCTCCGCTAGGTCACCCATCAATTTCCTAGCAGCATCGTGATTGTAAGGAATGCCTGGCAAAGGCCTGGGGTAGGCTTTTCGTAGCACCAAGTACAGGGTAGTCCAGAGAACAGAAGCTAAAACGGCAGTAGATAAGACCTGAAAAGCCATGATAGAAAACAATGCGTTACTGTAAGGTTCAAGAAAGGATTGGAGCGCTATCAGTCGAAGATGCGCACAACGTTAGACTAGTATTAGAAGATACATGTATCCATATCGATTCATATCTTTTAGGATGTCTCATATTCGTCAATCCTTGTTCAATAAAAAGAGAAGCTACCCCAAATTGCTGGACATACGCTAAAGAACTACAACGCTACACTAGCTCCATAGGTAGGTCCTGCAGTGAAGTCCCGCTATTGAGTGCCGTAGGGAAGTGCCGAAATATTTGACCAGGATAAGAGCGATAGAGACGAATCAACAAGTGAATAACGTAGCCAAGATAATCAATGAATGGTGGAAGTTCGCGTTTCAAAAGACCCGCCACAAAATGGTCAAGAGGCCAAGATTACACACCTGGTAGCAGACCCACATCATGCTACGAGTAAGCTGCATATATTGAATGCCATAAAGCCCTCGGAGGTATTGCTCCATACTAAGTAACAGGCCCAGCCCCTGCAGTACATAAGCTGCAATATTCTGGACTCACGGTTCTTATCGAGGCCAAGAACTGCGGGAGCTCCCGACCTCTCATTTAGTAATATAGGATGAAAGACAGGGAAGTACGTCTTTTTGGGTCATGCAGTGTATCAACCATTCATCAGTGGAGATCTACCACGGATTCAAACTATCCATGTCTAGTTAGGTAGGAATGATGGTTGCACACTGAGATGCTCACAGTAGTCGCTCACGAAGAAGGAGAAGGAAATAATCCGCGAATTACTGTCAAGATTCACAATTTTACAGTAAATAGAGGCTTAAATGCGTTTTGACGTCTCTCGTGACGTCTCTAGAAAACTTGTAGCTCGACAATCAGTTTTGTTGAAAAACTGCCAGTGGCGGTTCTTAATTGCCATTCGATTGAAACCTTGTGTCTCAACACCACGAAGGTTAGGGCTCGCAAATACCTTACTTGAGGCCGTTACCACAGCAATCTGCGAACAGACCTCCAAAGATGGCCAGCCCAGTAAGCCAAAATCCTTGCGAGAACCACAGCCAGCAGCTAGCAGGGCTCTTCAAATCCACTTTGACGACCATCGTGCCCACTGATAACATACATCCGATAACAGTGAAAGCATAATACAAAACACCCAACTGCCCATGGTAACCAGATGCCACTAGCGAAGCGATCATGCCCAGGTAAAGAGCCCATAACAGTGCTCTGGCATTATGGTGGAAAAGGACTGCGATACTCTTGACGCCAATTTTCACGTCGTCGGCCAGATCCTGGTGTGCATATATGGTGTCAAAGAGTATGACCCAGAGAATAGAAGCGACAAGCAGGAAGACGGTCGATGGATCTGTCCATGGCTTGATCACACCCACGGCCGAACTGCCGACCATAATGCCCCAGGAGAGGCAAAATCCGAGCACCAACTGAGACAGGTTCGTATGGCGTTTAGCATAGGGATAGTAGATGGTTCCGATAACAGTTGGAATCGCAGCCTTGGCCGACTCTGCGGGCAGGAAATACAAGAATGAAAGAGCTCCAGTTGCTTGGGAGACTGCAAATATGAATGCAGCAAGAGGAGTAATGGCACCACGAGGGATGGGACGAGTTTTGGTTCGAGCAATGGCCTTGTCTATCGGAGCGTCGACGAGGTCGTTCCATGCATGGCTAGCATTGCTGCAGAAAAAGCTTCCTCCAAAGAGGAGAAGACAAGTGCGGATCACCTCTGTGGCGGGAACGTTGAGGGTGTTCGCAGCGCGTATAACGCCGAAGAGGTGAGGGAAAAATATGAGGAACAAAGCGGCTGGCGGACTCAGTCGTGAGAGCTGCACGTAAGCGATCCACGAGGACGGGAGGCGGTTGACCCAACCCTCAGAGTGAACTCCGCCGTATTGTTTAGAAAGACCATCTTCCGACCTCTGACTGGCAGCAACCTTCGCTCGTTTGATAGCGACTTTAATCATTCTTCCTTCCGTTGGTTCTCCTTCTGTTTTGGACTGTACACAGCATTAATATACTAGCTTAAGCAATGTCCAATACTCTCGGATGGTTCAAACTTACATGTGGACTAGAAACGTGCGATGATTCGGAGAGTTGCTTCTATTAAGCTGATAAGAATAAGAAATCCGGAGAATGGTTGATGATGGATGGCCTATAGAGCATTGAAGCGTCTGACAATTATATATGATCAAAGAAGCGAAAGAATACACGCAGCAAACTAGCGGCTGGCTCTGAAAATGGGATTGAAGCCGCTCCTTCTACAACCGCTCCTCAGGTTTTGACTAAAGTCTCAATCGTCAAATCGCATCGTTTCTAGCAACATAGCCTTGCTGGAGAGTCTAAGACGCTCGGCATTGGTTTCGGCTTTTCCCTGAATCAGCCCTGCTACGAACCGCTACATACTATGTTACAAGGTCAAATCCATGTATATAGGCTGTTTGTAAGAGGCTGACAAAGGCCTAGGCAGAGAGTAAGAGCTATACCCCAGATCGTCTTGATTATGAAGAATAGCGCGGTATTTCTTAGTAACAGATTAAGTAAAGAGTTATCCGAAGAGCCTAGTTATTGTTTGAGCGTCTCTACAGTACATACGATGGTGAACGAGAAGAGTGGGGCTATGGTAGGGTTAAAGGTGCTGAGAATCGGGGAGATGTAGGGGTACATCAGACTCTACCCCTACCTCAACCCATGGTCCATGCGACTCCACTCTACCTGTGCCACGAGGTATACTAGGGGGCACCTGTTCATCAGCGTACGCTAGTAGGCCTGCCATCGCTTAATGATTAGTCTAGGGACACTATCTTCGTGTGGGCTAGCTGTTCCGCCGGCCACCGCACAGACTAGGCTTACATGGAAAACCATGTATTTTGCCAGAGGCCGGCTGACACCCGAGATAGCCAGTTCATAGAGAGAAAGTTCACCCGAAAATATACAGTTAGTCTAGGATATGAGCTATTTGTGCTTACGAAAGCTAGCGATTACAACTTCAGCCCTGCACCCTAGCTGCGACATATATTACTTGGCCTGACCTTACAGAAATAGATTAGCGTTAACTATGAAGGTGGCTCTTGAAAGTTATCGCCAGGCCGGCAGAGCTCGGCTAGAAGTTCATGCCAACAGGGGTGCCTATAACACTACCGCAGTACTCTGAAGGCGGATGTATCCGCCTAATAAGGTTAGCATTAGTAAGAACTTCTAATAAGTGCTGCTGCTGATCTGGCGATAACTTTTGAAAGCGACCTCCGTATAGATTTCAATATTGACGGTTTGCCCGTACGCATTCACAACCGGTCCGAATATTACAGTACAGCGTGCCAAGCACCCACTTGGACCTTTTCGAATGTTTTTGCTCCCGCCGTTTCTAAACCTTCTTGTATTACGAAACTTCCGCGCACTTCCGCGCAGACGACAACCGGCATGAACGTCGCTAGTGGTCTGTATACAACCCATATAGATGACTCAGCTCACTCTTCGCCCACAGAACGTTTACTCAATACCATGACAGATGCCTTATAGTAAAGATGTCTGTAACATGCATGTACAGGAGGGGAAACGCTTGCAGGGGATTAGGCCTGAGCATCTCGGACCTAAAACCTTTCTGGATTCCGTGGAAGGGATAGTGTGGATAATTAATTATTGTCTTGACACTACCAAGGTAGATAGTGTGTGTTGCAAGGGTCCTGGATTTTGAAAACAGGCAATGGATGGAGCGTAAGAACTGCCGTGGTTTTATGAGTTCGTGTGCATCTACAAGATTTAATGTGATAAGTTGTATGGTGGCACATGAGCTCTACGGCAAAGAATCTTGAATACACAATCAGTCCTCCGCCATTGACCGTTGTGTATCGAATATCCCCTGGATCTCTTATCTATCTTCATCCGCATCTTCAATTGGAGTTTCATTGATATTTGGAGAAACGAAAACAGTCCGCAAGCATGGCCCGCTCAGACGCAGAAGAAATGGTGTACTCAAACTCAGACACCATGGTCGACGTGTACGTATTCTATGCTGCCCACATTGCTCACCATAACCCATGGCCTATCTCGCAGCAGCCCGACATATAGCTTTGACATGAATGAGATCATAGATACATTGTCTGTTAGCTAATCCTATAATTCTATAGTTTCAAAGGCGCCATCCAGGGACGCATGATCCACCATCCCTCACGCTCTTTTGCACTCGAGATCACTCTCGACCTTGTTAAAGGTGCTGATTTCTTTTCTCACAAACCACCGCTACATTTCCATATACAGGAAGAGTATATTGAGTCGATTCAGGGCAAGATGTGTCTGGAGCTCGATGGCAAGGTGCACATACTGTCAGCAGGCGACGGGCCCATGAGCATCAAGCCTTATGTGAACCATCGGTCGTACCCGGCGTCGCTGGCGGACCAGGACGATGATGAGACTGTGGTGAAGTTTTTGCTTTCGGGTGAGAAGACTGACAGTGTTTTTGAGCTCAATCCTGTCTTCTTCGAGAACTGGTACAAGTACCAGGACGATGTTGTGGTAAATGGCGCAAAGATCTCCCTGATACAACTCTTTAGTGTAAGCCACCTCCCTTTTCGGTGCTTTCATCAACTTAAGCAAGGAATTTGTGCTTACTATCTGAAATGCAGACATTTGATGCCGGTGGTACTTATGTTTCGTTTCCTTGGTGGGTGCCTTTCGGTCAGACAGTGTCGCAGATATTAGGCGTCGTAGTTGGAAGATGGGTTGGCAGCATGCTTGGATATCAGCCGTTCCACCGCAAGTGGACTACAGACTGGGATCTGGCTTGCCAGAAGATGGAATCATCCTTCTTCCAGAGACGTTTCGCAGACAGGGTGGAAACTATCTAAGTAGACTTGTTTAACTGGTTATGTATTTTTACTTGTTGAATTCATCTAGTATATTGGTCACTCAGCCTCATAGTAAAAAAGATCTTGTTAAGTGATTGAGGGCATCGATGATATAAGTGTGCTATCTTGGGTAAGGAGAGAAAACAGGAAGCGCGCAGTTAGCTGTAGTAAAGGTCTAGAATCAAGATTGACTTTGAAGGATTGTTACCTCCATCACACAAACACGATGGTCTCACGTGCTAACCTCCTTCAAAATCGTCTCCACTTGTGCGAAAGAAAGCTCTGCCATGGTTTCTTTCCAGAGCTGGTCAATTATCTCTTGTCCCTCAGACGAGTAAACAAGCGGAGCCATACTGCAGATTTTTGTCAGCCAACGAACAGAAGATAAGGACGGCTGGTCAGCCGTGAATCCTTTGAAAGGCGACTTACGGAACCATTTTCTGGAACGAGAAAAATTCTCCGTGCGTTTCTTTGCCATGCTTGACAGCGGCATCGACCACAGTTCGCGAACCGATAGCAGATGAGTAGTAGATGCGTCGAAAAACCGACTTAACGATAGCGGCGATGACGCCTTTTTGGTTCTCTTTGCCAAATTCAGTGTCGTGCAGCCCAGCAGGCGAGGCTGAATTGATTATAGCAACGGTCGTAGGTACGAGCTTGGCGAGCTTCGCCAAGAAGAGTTGGCCGAGCAATTTCGAAACCATCATCCGGTCGAGCATATTGATATTGCCCGGTTTATCAAGGGCAGCGAGTAGTGGACGCTCATTCCTCTCCTTGAAACTTGTCCAAGCAGACACTTCGGAAGACACAAGCGTGATGCGAGCTGGCTGGCTTGTGTTCTTGGCCTTACAGATAGGGAGGAGTAGAATGATTAGTAGGGCTGTAGATAAATAGTTTACTTGAATTATCTCGTCATGCTTGGTACGTTCGTTGAAAGTGCGACTGGCTGGGAAGATACCAACGCTAAGAATGACTATGTCGAGACGTTCCAAGCTCTTGGTACGTTCGGCGAACGAGACAACCGAGCCGTAGTCAGAAAAGTCAATGAGCCAGACTTCTATAGCGTTGGTATCAAGTGTACGACCCTGGGACAGCGTAGCTAGAGCAGCTTTGCCCTTTTCCTCGCTGCGGACCGCGAGAATGAGCTTGCTGAGTCCGAGATCTAGAAGCTGACGACTAGATTCAAAACCAACACCCGAATTGGCGCCGGTAACAATTGCAGTCTTCCCGCGGAGATCAACATCGCGGACCTCGGTAGGCGTAACAGTGAGTTGATTGTAGAAGAAACGTGGTAGGCTTGCCTGCTTCTCAGGTGTGACGTCGTATTGATTATTAGCAGCCATGGTCGTGGAGTGCTTGATGATCCGATAGAGAGAGCAGAAGACGAAGAAAAAGAAGACAGTTTACATGCTTATTCGGAATCGTGAACGAAGGGATATACGGCACACACAACAGTGGTCATATCAGCACAAACGGGGACCAACAGGAACATGGACCAACGAGGCCACGGACCACCAACAGCAGGGATCCACATAAACACGGGCCAATACTACTCAAGCGAATGCCAAGTGCCTAGACAGGTCCCTTGGGTACTCAAGTGAATTGCCGAGTGCCTGAGTTAATGAGGTGCTGATACGGACAGGCTGTAATATACGCCCTGCCCTTGCTGGAAAAGTCATTCCCTATAGAGTTACATATGTGGATACTAGTGCTTATACGTATATGCAGTCCCATCCTTTAAAAGAAGGGAACCAACAACACCATTTTGGTTTCCTAAGGAATTTCGTTGATCAGTTTTCTGGCGTAACACTTATCGCTTATTGGTTTAAATAAGAACTTGCAATGCGGCTCCGCTACCACCTCGCCGGGCCGCTATTGGCGTGGTGCATTAGTATCGCTCATGCGGCGTCCATCAGCCTGAATGGCCTGCAAACACGAACGACAACTACGGCAGACTTCGCATCTTTTGGCCAACAAATTGGTCTGCCCAAGTCAACAATCCAGACTTTGGGAGAAAAGATCGCCCAAGTCTCGAACCCTGTCGAAGCTTTGGCGGCCGCCTGCCAGACTGCACGGGAATCTCTTGGAGAAGCACAAGTACAATCGGCACCTGTGGACCAAACAATCGTTGAAGTAAACTGGTAGGTTCCATCCCGTCACTTACATAGTGTTGTCTCTAATATTGAAAGGTCCGAAACATGCTTTGCCTTCCCGTCCTGCGCGATCCAGCCTAGAAATGCGATAGATGTGTCAACCTCGATACAAATTATAGACTTTTTCCAGGTTAAGTTCTCCGTCAGAAGCGGAGGTCACTCCCCTAATCCAGGATGGTCTAGCATTGGGAGCGGCGGCATCCTGTTGGACCTCCAACGCCTAAATTCCGTTACTGTCTCGGATGATCGCAAAGTGGCCAGTCTCGGCCCTGAAGGGCGCTGGAACAATGCGATGACGGTGCTTAATGCCAATGGAGTCTCCGTCCAGGGAGGACGACTCGGAGAAGTCGGTGTTGGGGGACTGCTCCTCGGCGGTTCGTAAACTTACTAGCAGTTTCATAACAATTCTAACTGTGTACAGGCGGTTATTTCTACACTTCAGGACAATTTGGTCTTGCTGTAGATAACGCTAAGAACTTCGAGGTGTGTATTAGCTCATCAAACATGGTTTCCTGAGACCCGGCTAATCCGCAACTCTATACAGGTTGTTTTGTCAAACGGAACCATTGTCAACGCTTGCTCGAGTCAGAACGCTGACCTCTTTTGGGCGTTAAAGGGCGGCAGGCCTAACTTTGGCATTGTTACTCGCTTCGATCTCTACACTATACCAGTATTGGAGATCTGGGGAACGGTGCAAATATACCCCGCTGACATGGCACTCAAGCTCATAGAGGCCTTTGACGAGTGGCAGCTGAATGGGGCATCGGACATCAAATCCAGCGTGGCTTTCGCTATTGGCCTAGATTTCATTACTCTCGGCTTGATTTACTCCGAGGCCACAACTTCACCTCCTGCCTTCGCTCCTTTCCAAAATCTTAAACCCCTTCAAGTCGTCGTTCCTCCCATGAACACCACGTTCTCTAGTGTGTACAATATCCTAGGTACATCTACTTCCAACACCACTGCCCGGTAAGCATCGCTCCTGCGGATAAAGCTTTAGGTTTCTTCGCTGATTGTTGCATATCCAGTCATGATTACAGAGGTGCCAGCTCCCGCATCAATACCAGATTCACCAAGGAAATGTACACATTCTGGAAGGAAAATGCGGTGGCTTTGCACAATAAGACTGGAGCCAACCAGACCTTCGCTATGCAACACATCAGTGCAAACCTGATACAGCAAGGGATCAACAAGGGTGGCAATGCCTTGGGCATTGAAGCAGAAGCCCAACAATGTTAGCATCCCCGTCAATTTGGCAATAAGAAACCAACTTATCGACTGAGAGCTAACTATCACAGGGTGGACAACCCTGATCGACTGGGAAAATGAAGCAGACGACGACCTTGTGCGCTCGGTTTCTATCAATTTCACTGAGAAATGGAAGAATCGTGGACAAGAGCTCGGTATGTATCTGCCTTTTGAGTATATGAATGACGCTTCACGAGACCAGAACCCACTCGGCTCGTATGGTTCTAAGAACTTGGCAAGTCTAGCCAGAGTCTCTCGGAAGTATGACGTAGAGCAGGTCTTTCAAACCTAGCAGAACAGTGGTTTTTTGCTGCGGAAGCTTTAAGGGATAGCATAGCGACGTGCTGATCATTTCCAGTGTTTGTGCAAGCTTGAATCTTAGCAAATCGTAACTTCTAATTATCTTTGTAATATCTGATTCACAATACCAAAACACGCATCTCATTCTTGCAACCTTTTTCTTGGGTGCATATAGTTGATCTCAAACCACATGATAATTACTCAAGCGAGCAGTCGAGCGATACTAATCATAGTTTCATATATCTTTGGTGTCAAGTTGCAGTAAAGTCATTTGTCATTTCGGATGTACCCAACTAATACTAAACACATTATGGAGACTGCATCTCCAATGTCTGCTCGATACCCTTCGTGGTGTACTAAGTGTTCCAAGAACCAGACAACAATTATCAACAAAAAGTATCTTGATAGAAGAATGCGAAAATTTGGGATGGCGTGTTTTCCTCTTTCCCATCGGAAATATGTTTGCGATTGCGCTTAGCTCAACTCCCACAGGATACGCATGATAGGGCCCCTCCAACGAGGCCGATGTTTTCTTTTACTCCGAGACCATTTAATTCATTTAATCCTGATAAATGTCTATACTAGGATTTACAATCGTTAGCAAGTTGGTAACGGGATTAATTCCGGCTTTCAACATCCAAGACTGCCAATCAACATCGCTATCATGTTGCGGCATTTATGAAGAATTCGGAGGCTATACTCCGTACTTCTTCTAGAAATCTAACAATAGGAATTTCAACTTCCAGGAAGATGCATAGCGTGTAAGTTTTATGTACGTACTAGTGGCTTGTGTACTTACCCTTGTAAGTAAGCTGCCCAGCCACGGACTCACGGTATCCCTACTTCGCTTAGCAATAACCAGTTAAACTAAATATATACTAATACATGGGTACCCTCACCCACAAGTTACAGTAGGAATATGTTAGGGATCATACGGGCCGCAAGCATGGGTAAAGGTAGAGTTACCAAGAATCAGGTAGAGGTAGGGTTAGGGTTGCTAACCATTAGGCCAGGGTAGGGTTTTATGTAAGCTCTACTTTACCCTACCTCTACCTATTTACTACCATGATACCGATAATACCACCGATATATCGTCCAAACCCAGTAGTGCCGACTTCTTATCGAATGGTCGTTTCACCTTCCTCGGGTATGATACTCAAATACAGTTAGGGGACCCACCTTTTCACACACAGCTATGCATTGCTTACATGTTGCTTAGGCGGCAGTTACACTTCATGGAAGTACGTAGTTCTGGCTATGCTGACTGTCTTGGTTGACAGCTCGAGCCTGAGTATTGGAAGTTTTCAACATTGGCTTTGCACTTTGTCCTCATCAGATTTGTTGCAATGATTTCCATACAGTCCATCGTTTACTCCTTCAATGGGAATGCAAAACTTTCTTTCGCCATTGGAATAATAGTTGCATTCCTGGCGTTCATATTCCGGTCACGAAATGCAAACCGGCCCCCTCGGCTCCCTGATACCATTCCTTATATTTCAAATACGATTCAGTACTTGACCGACGCTGGCAGGTTTTTGGACAGAGTCAAGTGAGCTTCTACTTCTTATCCGGACCATCAACCTCGATTACTAACACAGATATGTAGCGAGACTTTAGAGGCGACCAAGAGCAACGTCATCGGATTCCACGTCGGTCTGAGGCCCGCATACATCGTGACAGGGTCGAAAAATGTACAGAAGGTTTTCGGCTCGCCCCACGTACTTGATGGCAACTTTCTCCAGCTGGTCCTGATGGACAAGCACTGGGGCATGACTAAAGACGAGATCCATAAGTTCGCAAGCGACACTTCTGGAAGACTGAAGACCCCAGCTCCAGGGACAGAGTCCATACCTGAAGACCAGCGATTCTGGCTCGGACATGACCGGTTGTATGCGGAGTATCTTACTAAGCAAAATTACTCCGATGCCCTAGCTGAGTCCTTCCAGACGTTGTTCTCGCAACGCCTCGACAAGCGAGCGACGACGGAGTGGGCCACGGTCGGGCTATTCGAGCTCCTCAAGACTACAATGGCCGAGAGCGCTATCATTTCGCTATTCGGCTCCAAGATCATTGAACTGAACCCTGGTTTTATCCAATGCTACTGGGAGTTCGATGAAATTGCGGGTACTTTAGTCTGGGGCCTGCCAAACTTCATGCAGCGCTCTTCTGTTGCAATTAGAGACCGTCTGCATAAGATGACAAAGAATCACATTGATTCAGCATGGGAGCACTTTGACTGGTCAGGCCCCGATGCCAATTCAGCCTGGGAGCCGCATTTTGGGTCCAGACTATCTCGCGAGACTGCAAGGTGGCTTCGAGAGAGGGGCTTTTCAAACCAAGCTGCTGCTGGACATACTTTAGCTTCACTTTTTGGGTACGTAAAAGCTGTGGGTTTACATTCTAGAGTACAAATGAATAACTTTATAAAGGCTGAATGGAAACACAGTGCCCATCTCAGCATGGGCGATGATTGAGCTAATCAAGGACCCATCACTGTATAAGGCAGTGCGTAGTGAGGTGCTGAAGACATGTGTAGTCGACCCAGATACGATGAAAACTCACTTGGATGCGCGCGCGCTCATTAACATGCCACTCATGCAGTCTCTCTATACAGAGATCATGCGCATACACGTGTCCTTCAACGTCACCCGTGAAGCAAAGGAGTCGATTAACATTGACGGCTACCGGCTTGAGAAGGGCTCGTTAATTCAGACATGCTCGCAGATTTCGCACTTTGAAGAAGCAGTCTGGGGGGCCGAAGATCATCCCGCGTCTGAGTTTTGGGCCTGGCGGCATATCAAGTGGGTAGAAAGGACAGATGAAGCTAGTGGAGAAGTCATGATGCATCCAACTTTCTCTATGAAGGGTCGACCAAGCTCTTTCTTCCCTTATGGTAGGCTGTCCTCCCGTTTATATAGTACTAGGTCTTCTCTACCTCAATCTTAGGAGCCTAGAACTGTTGAACGCTGATTGCTGACTTTTCTACACAGGTGGAGGATACGTAATGTGCCCTGGACGCCACTTTGCAAAACAAGAGATTCTGCTGGCGATAGCCGTTATGGTTACCAAATTTGACATCGAATTTGTCGGGTGGAAAAACCTTGACGGGTCAAATTCCAACAGATCAGCACAGGATGATAGAAGGTTTGCTGGTTTCATTGCAATGTCTCCGGACCGGGAGATGGAAATCCGCATAAGGAAGGTTACATGAGTCTATTACCCTAAATCCCTATCTGATCAATGATCAAGCACAGAAATTCTCCTGTATTCGTGTCCTCGAAGCAAAAGGCACCATCCTGATGTATTCAGCTTTTGTGAATCCAGCCTAAATTAGTGAAATTTTGAAAATAGGTGCCAATAGATAGAGGTTGGGATGATCTGCTACACCAGCCAGCTATGCCTACTGATATAAACCCGACTTTTGCTCTGCAAATAAAAGTAAACTCTTATCTGACCGTAGCTGAACTCTGCTGTTGCATACAGACGCCGCGCTTCACCAAGCCGGGAGACGGAAGCGAATCAAAGTCAATAAAGGGATATTAATATCTACCTACGGTTAGTCACAGCTTGGGAAAGGCAATCCCCTCAATCGGTTCCATCCTTCCATATTAAGTCAAGAAGCGATTCAATACCGCTGTACAGTCAGCTGATTGTGGGTCGAATTGTTGGGAGGAGGGAGCCGAAACAGAAAGATGGTCATTCTAGCCCATTCCTTGCATTTGCTAGGGTCACTTGCCTAGATATGCACGGCCATTTGCAATGTAAAGGCCCGATCCACGCTCAAAGCGATTTGTAGAATGGCGCATATCAAGCTGCGTGTTTTCTTCTCAATCAAGCCGAACAACTGGAAATATATACTCTTACCCAACTCTTATTGTCATACACTGATTTAACCATGGGAAAACTCACTGATGATGACTTTTATACCAATCACCAAGCTGCAAACTCTCTTCGCGTTATTATCGTTGGGGCAGGCATTGCAGGACTCTCGGCCGGGCTGACACTTTCTCAATATGGCCACTCCGTAACGATTTTGAAGAGTTCACCCCTGCTCGGCGAAACCGGCGCAGGTATACAGCTGGCTCCAAATGCCACTCGCATTCTTCGCAGGTTTGGAGTACTTGGCGAGGTGATATTACACACTTCTGTTCTCCCAGGTGTTAGTATAAGGTGAGTCTTATATATGTTTGGGCATTACATTATTATTTGTCTTGTCATTTGTATCATGATCTCTTCAATTTCCATCGGGAGTCTTTTCTAACATTGCCTTCTAGACGTTATAATAGTGATGAGGAGCTCAAATATTCGCCGATGTCGCTCTCCTCCAGCAATAAATACGGAGCACCAATGGGAGTCATACACCGTGGAGATCTGCATCGCATACTTCTAAATGCCGCTGGAGACAACGGCTGTCAGATATCTACATCTCACACGTAAGTCCTTTCCAACACATGCGCACAAATCAATGTCATATTTTCCCCCCTTTGAAGGCTTTCCCATCTCGAAAATCGTCGATTGAGTAGTCTATGTTCTGACATGTCACAGAGTCATAGAGGTTGACTCGTCTCCAGTCCCGAGAGTTCGAGTTCGAGTTGGCAACAACAGCCAATGCTTGTGGTTCACAGCCGATATAGTCATTGCTGCAGATGGCATAAAGTCTGTTTGTAGGAAGCAAATGGCTCTCGCAGGTGGCTATGCCAGCAAAGATCAACCCTACCCCACAGGAGATGCAGCGTACAGGTTGCTAATTCCTCGTGAAAAGGTTCAACATGATTCAGAATTACTGGCCATGCTAGACCAAGATGTGGCGATGCGCTACATGGGGCCTGGAGGACACATCATGGCCTACCCGTTGAAAGGAAACAAATTGTACAACATGGTGCTCATCCACCCTTCCAAGCCGACTAGCCATACTGAAGAGAATGTTTGGACAGCCACTGGCAAACGAAGAGAGATGATGAGCTTTTACGGAAGCTGGTCGCCTGCAATAAGAAAGTGGCTGAGCTATGCCGGAGAAGAGAACGAGGAGGACATTCCAGAGTGGACCCTCAACACGTACCCGCCGTTGCCGAGATGGGTATGGGGTGGTGTTGCGCTCATAGGTGACGCCTGCCACCCAATGCTTCCATATGTCGCTCAAGGAGCAGCGAATGGTATCGAGGATGCTGCAGTGATAGCCACTGCTCTGAACTACACGTCGAATGTCCAGTTGGCTCTTCGCGTGTACGAGACAGTTAGGAAAGAGCGCGCTGAGAAGATAGCGGCGAGTGCGTCAGACACGAGCAAAAGCTTGCACCTGCCAGATGGCCCTGAGCAAGAAAAAAGAGACAGGGCTATACTGGGCTCAGGGCAGAAGGAAAGGGCTGGGAAGTCACAAGTCGCAGACAAGTGGCAGGACCAGCAGTGGCAAGATTATATGTGGGGTGTGGATGTAATGCATCAAACACTAGACAAATGGGCTGAAATAGGCGCTGTGGCAATGAGCGACTCGGAGCATATCATATCTTCCCTTTGAGTACTAAATAAACCACTTGATTCAAGTTTTAGCAGTCGTTTTACTTTGTACCTTACTGACTGTTCAATTTCGAAAACTTAATATCTGCCTTACAAGGCTAATCATTGAAGGATAAAAATTCATTGCTAAATACACTGTCTTGTTGAATAGACTCTTGCTTTCAATGTAGTGGGACTTCAATTTCCCTATATAATCTCTATAAACTAGAGAAAATCTAAGTGCTGACGACGATTCCAGGTAACCCTCCAGATTGGTGATAGTTGTCAAGGATACGCTGATAACCATTGACTCCTCCACCAAAAGGTGCTGCTCGCGCTTGTGATCTGGCTTCATCAGGCGTTATCTTCTTCATCGCGTCGTCGTGTCCTGTCATGTATCCAGGCGTACATAGCCCAGCCAACGAGTACCAGCCAGCTCTTCTGGCTACCTCACCGCCCCAACCCTCTTCTGCCGCTTTTGACGGTTCAACAACAAGCTTGTTAGAATTTTCGACTTTGCCAAATGCTGTGCGGAGAATATATGCGATATGTTTCGCAGCAACATCAAAAGTTAATGTCAAATTGGCAGTGCCAGGACTACCCCTAGGGCTAATCACGAAAAGGTTCGGAAATTCGCTTATCATAATACCGTGTAGTATTGCAAATTCCTTCGATCGGAACTTAGTCTCGAGTGATTTACCATAGCGACCGATTATGGAAAATGGCCAATAAGCCCCAGGGGCACCAGAGACCCCAGTAAAGAATCCAGTGGCGAAGACCAACACGTCAAGATTGTAGGGGGCCCCATTAGCAACCGGCCCAAATGGAGTGCATTTTTCCAAGCCTTTGCCATCCAAGTCGACTAGCGTGACGTTATTCCAATTAAATACAGATAGATAGTCATCATAGAATGTTGGCCTTTTGCACCATCCGTAATACCATAGCAGGAGCTTTGTTGCAGTTACTGGGTCGTGCACTTCGTTCGCAATATAGGCCCGGCCTTTTTCTCCGATCTCAAGATCGAGTTTCAGCATCTCCTGTCGATGCTCCTCAAAGTTGTCCTGGGTGATGGTCTTGGAAGCACTCCCCAACAGTCCAAAGAAGGATGTGGACCGGGTCCAGCCGTCGTTGACCAAATCGATTTCAGCGCCTTCAAAACAGAGATTGGCGTTGAAATTGCTCCTTCTTTCTGCCTGCCAACCTTTTTTATACGCAATCTCTTTCCAGTCTTCGTCTGCGACCTCTGATTATCCTCGATAACTCACAAAGGATGGGGTACGCTGAAAGACGTATAGATATTTTGCTGATTTCGCGAGCTGAGGCACAATTTATACGGCAGTAGCACCAGTACCCACTATGCCTACTACCTTGTCTTTCAGCTTTGACATGTCTGGCTGCTCTTGAGTTCCACCAGTCAATTCATAATCCCACCGACTGGAATGTAGTATCTCAACATTTCGTCGCATCTCATCCAAACCTTCCAACTTGGGGATTTACGGGATCGGAAATATTCCAAAAGATAGCATGACGAACTGAGCCTTGACCTGAAGTCTTGTTGTTCGGCCGTCCTTATGATTCCTGAGTATCGAGACAACCCATCGCCGTGTTGTTTCATCCCAGCTCATGCCTGCCACCGTGGTGCCAAATTGTGCCTGGATATTCCATTTCTTAGCTATTCGTGCCGCGTGTTCACGAATCTCAGTTCCATAGGCATATTTATGCTTCGGTACATACCCTATTTCTTCGAGTAAAGGCATGTAACAATAGCTCTCAATGTCGCATCCTACGCCTAGGTATCTATTCCAGTACCTATATTTCGTTAACCTTTGTCTAGAAAGTGAAAAAGGGTTATTACCATGTTCCGCCAAATCCCCCGGCTTTGTCAACAATAACCACGTCCTTGGAGTCAAATCCTTCCTCAATGACTCTCACTGCTGTCAGCAGACCGCTATGACCGCCTCCAACAATGAGCAACTTCACTTCTGAGCCTTCAGCCAAGGGCTGATTAGCGGCCACAGTTTCATGATCAATCCAAGGATCACTGTCAAGCTTAGGCTCTTTGTCGAAGGAGACAAATTGTTCCAAGCCATCCTGATTACGGTTTAGCCGCTTGTCTCGCTCGGCTTGATATTTATCGTGTAAAAAAGGGGAAATCTGTGGTGATACCATTGCTATGTCTTGGAAACGATTTCTGGTTTAGATAGTATGTAAGCTGATTTTGTTTTCCTAGTTCTTTGTCAACTTCACTCACTTATATAGCTTTTCATGGCTTACATGTTGAGAGGGTATTTTTGAAAACAGGCGCGGGATTTAACGTACCGAAGATAAGCATTTCGTCCGCTCGGCCCACATTCAACCAAGCAACTACTGTAGTTAGCGGGAAATGTCTGTACTTACGTTGAGGCCCTAAAATTGATGATCGTCTTCGGATGATCATGTATCTTGAATTCATCCGAGGAAAGTACTAGTAGGCTGTTCTTTGAAACCTCAATGTGAGATACACTATGCATGTTGTAGCTTCTACTCTCGAACCCTAACTTAATTATTAGAGTAAAAAATTCGCACAATTTAAGAGTGGTAAGAGTAAACAGAGTTTGGAAAATTCCTAAACCTAGCTACAGCTTCTTTTGTAGTATCTCACTGGACATTAAGATCGAAGGGACTGAGCTTTGTTTGGATTTGCATATAGCTAGAATCTGGATGTTCTGAGTAATACCATAAATTTGTAGTATATTGCTCAGGTGGGGCTCAGTACGGCGTGACACGGCTTCTTGAGCATAGATGGATAGGTTGAAGCGCCTAAGGAGCTTAGAGTGAGGCAAGGCGAGGCGGAGAAGGCATGCTCTACTTGGGCAACTTCGCGGGCAGGCAAACCAGCATCTTTTTTTCTATTATTCGTCGCGTCTCGGCATCTTAGCGTATGCAAGACTGCGAGAGCACTGAATTCAGCTAGGCCCGAGGCAACAGCGGCTCTTGGTCGACCGAAAACATTCGGATGAAAACTATCTGCCCACAAAAACAGCGCATCACTGATGACGCGTACCTTTACACCGGCATCATACGATGTGTATCATATTCGGAAAAATACAAATAGGCAAAAAGGATGCATCTCGTTAATTAGAAAAAGCAATGGCTCTACACAACCAGGTTGTAACGATGGTGGATAGTAAGCACGATATTGATCAACCAACCACACTCACGCATGTAACACCACGACTCTATGAATTGCTGTGCCAAGGATATCTAGGGATTTTTGCCAAAGAGCTGGCTTGTTACTTGGCTGGGCTGTTGTCAGGCCAGTCTCTACTGTGTGGTAGTATACCGGTGCCCGGATTCGGCTAGACTAAGAAGCTGCGATATGGCATCGACTGAGGAAGTCGTCTGTCCAAAAGAAAGCAAGCAACATGGAGTCGCAACTCTCAAAAAGCTCTACAACAGTCTAAAAAAAGCAACAGATGAGCCTCAAAGTTTCTGGAGGGTAAGAGACAAAGCAGAGAAGTAATAGTCGCGTTGAGAGGCATCGCCAAGGATTACCAAGTGTGCGGCTTCAATTGTGCGAGGCGAGCCGGCTCTGGAGGTTCCGCTCTGGAGGTTCCGCTCGCTGTCCGTCACGCCCACCCACCCATCCACCCATCTCCTGCATTCTTATGGAACTTGGCACTCCTTCATCGGCCAGCGCTTCAGCTTTCTCAGATGCTGTTGATGAGACTTCCATCCGTCTCCTCCGCTTCTCCCAGACTCCACACGGCGTCTTCGTTGGCGAACTGCGCAAGTTCCCCATCGCCGGTGCACCTCACTATTACACTGCCAGCTATGTATGGGGCGAGCGCAAGTATACTGGAGTGACAGTCGATGTGGAAACTGGAAGAATTCCCGTGCTCGAAAGCCTTGTGCCATTCCTTGACATGGTCACTAGACATCGCGACTTTCGAGGCATAGATTGGTGGTGGATCGACTCACTTTGCATCAATCTGGATGACAGTCATGAGCGTGAGAAGCAGGTGCGCATCATGGCAGACATCTACAAAAAGGCGAAAAGAGCCATCGTGTGGTTGGGCGAAGAGAAAGACGGCGACAGTGACTGCACCGACGCCATCGACTTCATGCAATACCTTTCCGCTTTACAATTCTCCTTCAATGGAAACGACATCGCAATGCGCAGGCAGCTGCAAAGCCCCGAGTTTACCAATAAGTGCGCTGCTGTGAGCAGCTTGCTAGCTAGACCTTGGTGGACGAGGGTGTGGACATTGCAAGAATTCGTCCTCCCGAAAGAGGCGAAGCTCTACTGTGGTACCGCCAGCATCAGCCGCGGCAGGTTCAAGAAGGCGATTTATAGAATTTTCCTTTGTAGCACCATGAGTCAAGAATTCCAACATGAGCTTGTACCACGAAAGCTGTTCGACGGCGCATTCAACCGCCGTCGTATCCATCAATGGCATACCAAGCCAGATTCAATCGGCATCAACCTAATTGCCATTATGGCATACTTGGGCAACCACTCAGCAACCGACAGCAGAGATCGCATATACTCCGTTCTTGGTCTCATTACCGAACAAGATAGAAACCTCGTGGGGCCCGCCGAATACACTACTGACATCGTGTACCAGTTCGCGAGGCTTGTCCAGTCCTTTTGGAACGTCCATAAATCGCTCGACATTATCTGCTTTACGCATTTGTTCAGTCGCAGCGCAGCAGTTAGTGATTTGCATGCTGAAAATGCAACACCTACATGGACTCCCGATTGGAGGACGACCATCGAATTCGCCTCTCCTGTGCCGCTCATGGCAAGCCAAAGTGCATGTGAACATGTTGGGAATTTCAGACCGCTGCGCTCAACACGCTGGAAAGCCATATATGATGCTCCTGCAATACGACTGAGGAAACAAGCGCAGGTCTCTTTCTCAGACGACCTGAAGGATCTGTACTGTAACGGCGTCGTATTAGATACGATTCACGGGCTGGGTGGCCTTAACGGACAGGAATTACGATGCCAAAGCTTCGTCTGTAGAGAGGCTGGACATGAGCTGATACAGTCGCAACAAGAGCAAAGTAGCGCTCCCAGAGCCACCATGCTACCTATGGATTGGCTCGGAGCTGTCGCACGTTCCTTGGTCATCGACCGACAGGACAAGTACCTGTGCTTTCAAGCGCCCGTCCACTACATAGCCGAATTCCTCTTCCTTTGTCATGCGTGTATCGATGGCGACCCAGTAGACTGGAGCTTCTCTACATGGTTTGACCAAAATAAGAAGCTGAGACTTGGTGACATGTTACTAGAGGATCTCGTGAGACAGGTACCTACCGAGTTCACATCCCCACCACCGACACTGCATCGGCCACCATCTCATCCCATTCACCAAATGGACGACAAACTGAGCACCTTTCTCTCGCGCTTCCATGATACTGTACGCAAGAAAGCACGCCGATTGATGGTCACGGAACGAGGTTACATTGGTATGGCACCGTGTCGCGCAAGGCCTGGCGACGTTGTCGCTGTCCTATTCGGGTGCAGCATCCCGCTTGTTTTGAGGAGGGAAGCATCTAAAGATGCCTGGCACGTCGTAGGTGAGGGTTTTGTGTATGGTTACATGAATGGCGAGATTGCAGACCAAGTCAAGAATGGGAAGCTAAGTGTGCAGAGGCTCAGACTTACATGAGATGCCCTGCTCACCCTTATGTGCAGCGTTTGCCCAACTTGCTGTACCTACAACATAACGTCGCTTCGTTGGACTTTTCGCAGCACCACATGATGCGTTTTCTTTCTTTATTAAGGGATTATATCATTGCTGCCACCACTGTGGCCTGTTGAATTGCCTTGACGGCCTTGCAAAGGCTGCAACAATCTTTTTTTTTTACAGAAACAGGTAAAAAAGTGTAGTGTCACTCAATTAGAGTTAACGTGACGGATAAGCGAGTCGGTCAGGCAAGCGAGTCGGTCACCCTACCAACTTTGCGCACCTCTGCGGGCATATATCTCAACAACACAA